TAGAATATAGGTCCCCAGTGAAAATATTCATCATTTTTTTGGGGAACACCACCCGATTCCATTGGTTTTCATTGCAACTAGTTTTTGTTTTCATAGTTCTACGACACCGGTTGTGGGGGGTTCCCTTCGGTGAGCTTGAAAAATTCATTTTTTAATGAAATATAAAAAGAAATTGATCATTTCGGGGGACCTGTTTTTTGTTGAAACGTTCTACTCTGATGTCAAAGTAGATGGCTCAGAATCTTGAGTTGCGCCATCTATGTCACAAAAAAAAATGGGGGATAGATGGCTCAACTCCCTTTAAAACAAGTCAGTTGAGCCATCTATGTCCCTAAAAATGACATATTTTTTGCAATATTCTGCGCTGTTTTCCCCCATATGTTTTTTTCTCAACATCAAGATGCCTTTTTGGGACATAGATGGCGCAACTCCCACCCATTCGCCAAAATCAGGCTGGGAATGCCCACATAGATGCGTAACTTCCTCACATCTCCCGACATCCATAAGCCAACCTAACTAACATATGCCACATAGATGGCGCAACTCCCTCACATCTCCCGACATCCATAACCAACCTATAGCCAAAATATGCCACATAGATGGCGCAACTCCATCACATCCTGACATCCATAAACCAACCTAACCAAAATATGCCACATAGATGGCGCATCTCCACATAGATGGCGCAATTTTACAATTTCAATATATGCATTCTGATTAGTTTTAGATGTATAATATTTACATACCGTGAACCCCCCGTTGTTGGCAGATATGTTTCTTATTTTTTCATCTTTTTTCTAACGGATGTAGGGTTTAGGGTTAGACACGATATATTTTGATAGAAATGTAATTTTTCAACATATGTTGGCAAAAAAAAACGAAAAAAAATCCGGGGTACTACCACGATAGGTCCCCAAACACTCTTTGTGGGGACCTATCGCCTGAGTCCTGATGGTTTTGCCTCCTGTCTTGGGGTAACTCTGATGTCTTTCCTGGCGGTTTTGCCTCCTGTCTTGGGATAACTCTGATGTCTTTCCTGGTGGTTTTGCCTCCTGTCTTGGGATAACTCTGATGTCTTTGGTGGTTTTGCCTCCTGTCTTGGGATAACTCTGATGTCTTTCCTGGTGGTTTTGCCTCCTGTCTTGGGATAACTCTGCTGTCTTTCCTGGTGGTTTTGCCTCCTGTCTTGGGATAACTCTGATGTCTTTCCTGGTGGTTTTGCCTCCTGTCTTAGGATAACTCTGCTGTCTTTCCTGGTGGTTTTGCCTCCTGTCTTGGGATAACTCTGATGTCTTTCCTGGTGGTTTTGCCTCCTGTCTTGGGATAACTCTGATGTCTTTCCTGGTGGTTTTGCCTCCTGTTTTGGGAATTGGCGGAACTCATTTTATGTTCCAGCTAAAATAACGCCGTTTTCTTTCTCACCGCGCGGTGCCATCTTGTGTGCATTTTGGTTTTTGAGTTGAGCCATCTCTACTTTTAGGTCAGTGTAGTTTAGGAACTTCAGACATCCAGGGTTGCTACTCCCCAAAGGGAATTACGTATATGATATATACCTTGAAATGGAAGAAACCCAATTCCTTGCAGAACGACATACAAAGAATATAGGTTCCCAGTGAAAATACTCATCAGCTTTTGAGGAACACCACCCAATTCCATTGGTTTTCATTGCAAAATAGTTTTTTTCATAGTTCTACGACACCGGTCGTGGGGGGCACCCTTCGGTGAGCCTGAAAAACTCATTTTTTAATGCAATATAAAAAGAAATTGATCATTTCGGGGGATCTGTTTTTTTTTGTTGAAACGTTCTAGTTTAGGAACTTCAGACATCCAGGGTTGCTACTCGCCCAAGGGAATTACGTATATGATATTTACATATATTTACCCTTATACATGGAAGAGACCCAATTCCTTGAAGAATTACTTACATAGAATTTAGGTCCCCAGTGAAAATATTCATCAAATTTTTGAGGAACACCACCCAATTCCATTTGTTTTCATTTCAAAATATGTTTTTTTTTCATAGTTCACCCCGCGATTGCCCCAGCAAAACGGGTTGCAACACACTTTCCATGCTGAAATCGCAGTTGTCCCTTTGCGGAACTGGTTTGAATCACAGGCGGCTGCAGCAATCCATGTTTCTGTCAAAAACCTGAAAAAATTATTTTCCTGGATCAAAATGGATAGCCGGAAATACTCTATGTATATGTTGTTTTTTTCCGATTCCGGAAAATGTTTTTATTCTATGTATAGGTTTTTTTTACCGATTCCGGGAGATGTTTTTGAGGCCGAAATTATCGATTTTGTATTCTATGTATCTCATCGGGATTAAATATATATTATATTATATTATATTATATTATATTATATTTACACACGCGTTTTTGCACATATCTGTACAACTTGAAGGGGAAAGCATTCTAACTGCTGAAATGTTGGTAAAAACAATTTCAAAGGGAACCGTTTTATTTGCGGAAATGCTGGTAGAAAACAATTTCAAGGGGGAAACCTTCCAACTGCTGAAATGCTTGTGTAAAAAACAACTTGAAGGGAGAAGCATTCAAACTGCTGAAAAGCTGGTAAAAAAACAATTTCAAGGGGGAAGCATTCTAATTGCTGAAATGCTGGTAGGAAAACAATTTCAAGGGAGAAACATTCTAACTGCTGAAAAACTGGTAAAAAACAATTTCAAGGGGGAAGCATTCTAATTGATGACATGCTGGTAAAAAAACATTTCAAGGACTGCTGAAATGCTGGTAAAAAACAATTTCAAGGGGGAAACATTCTAACTGCTGAAAAGCTGGTAAAAAACCATTTCAAGGGGGAAACATTCTAACTGCTGAAATGCTGGTAAAAAACAATTTCAAGGGGAAAGCATTCCAACTGCTGAAATACTTGTGTAAAAAGCAACTTCAAGGGGGAAGCGTTCTAAGTGCCGAAATGCTGGGAAGCATTCTAACTGCTGAAATGCTGGCAAAAACAATTTCAGGGGGGAAGCGTTCTAATTGCTGAAATGCTGGTAGAAAACAAGTTCAAGGGGGAAGCATTCTAACTGCTGAAATGCTTGTAAAAAACCATTTCAAGGGGAAAGCATTCTAACTGCTGAAAAGCTGGTAAAAACCCGTTTCAAGGGGGAAGCATTCTAACTTATGAAATGCTGGTAAAAAACCTTTTCAAGGGGGAAGCATTCTAACTGCTGAAATACTTATAAAAAACAATTTCAAGAAAAGCATTCTAATTGCTGAAATGCTAGTAGAAAAACAATTTCAAGGGAGAAACATTCTAACTGCAGAAATGCTGGTAAAAAACAATTTAACGCGGAAGCATTCTAATTGCTGAAAAGCTGGTAAAAAACAATTTCAAGGGGGAAGTATTCTGACTGATGAAATGCTTGTGTAAAAAGCCATTTCAAGGGGGGAAGCATTCTAACTGCTGAAATGCTGGGAAGCATTCTAACTGCTGAAATGCTATTTCAAGGGGGAAGCGTTCTAATTGCTGAAATGCTGGTAGAAACAAATTTCAAGGGGGAAGCCTTCTAATTGCTGAAATGCTGGTAGAAAGCATTTTCAAGGGGGAAACATTCTATTTCAGCAGTTCGAATGCTTCCCCCCTTGAAATGGCTTTTTACCAGCATTTCATCAGTCAGAATGCTTCCCCCTTGAAATTGCTTTTTACCAGCTTTTCAGCAATTAGAATGCTTCCACCCTTGAAATGGTTTTTGACCAGCATTTCATCAGTTAGAATGCTTCCCCCTTGATTTTTTTTCAACCAGCTTTTCAGCAGTTAGAATGCTTCCCGTTGAAATTGCTTTTACACAAGCATTTCAGCAGTTAATGGTAAAAAACAATTTCAAGCAAAGCATTCTAATTGCTGAAATGCTGGTAGAAAAACAATTTCAAGGGGGAAGCATTCTAATTGCTGAAATGCTGGGAAGCATTCTAACTGCTGAAATGCTGGCAAAAGCAACTTCAAGGGAAGCGTTCCAATTGCAGAAATGCTGGTAGAAAGCAATTTCAAGGGGGAAGTATTCAAACTGCTGAAATGCTTGTGTAAAAAAACAATATGAAGGGGAAACATTCTAACTGCTGAAAGGCTGGTAAAAAGCAATTTCAAGGGGAAAGCATTCCAACTGCTGAAATGCTGGTAAGAAGCAATTTCAATGGGGAAGCATTCTAACTGCTGAAATGCTTGTATAAAAGCAACTTCAAGGGGGAAGCGTTCTAACTGATGAAATGCTGGTAAAAAGCCATTTCAAGGGGAAACATTCTAACTGCTGAAATGCTGGCAAAGCAATTTCAAGGGGGAAGCCTGGGAAGCGTTCTAATTGCTGAAATGCTGGTAGAAAGCAATTTCAAGGGGGAAGCATTCTAACTGCATTCTAACATCTGATGATATTCATAGTGCGGAGGCATTCTAAGTGAGGGATTTGTGCAAAGGGTTCTCCAAAAACAAAAAAACTTAAAACCCGGGTGGGGAGGCATTCTAACTGAAGGATTTTTTGCCGTGCGCGGGCCGCATTCTAACTGAGGGGGAGGAATATTTGGAATTCGCGGAGGCATTCTAACTTTCATTTTAACGGTATACATATATATTATAAAAATATGGTAACGACATTTAAATATGTGGAGGGCAGGCCAGACCGCGAGGCCCCGGAGGTAGTATGAAATACCAGTTCGTATATTTAAATGTAGTTACCGTATGTTTAAATGAATTGGATTCCGTATGTTTAAATGGCCGGGCGGGCCAAGGAAAACCTTCCCGGAGGTAGTCCAAAATACCTGTTCGTATATTTAAAAGTCCGTATATTTAAATGTAGTTACCGTATGTATATATATATTTATTTATTAATTTATTTATATGTGTGTGTGTCCCATAATTAACGGGATATCATGGGATATCCATCCACCAAACGGATCCAAAAGCTGAAATTGGAGATGGGCATAGTATGCTTCATGGCTCGACAGGATCGATGTTGGTGTATCGCCCCGCGAAAAACGCCCAAGGCCACTCCTGTGCTATCTATGATAGATACCCAGAGCCCGGAAAGCCAAGGGTGGTTATGTTGGAAGCTACTTGGAAGTTCACCTTCCACTTAATCAGGTGGTATAGTATATATATATATATACATATATAATATTATATATATAATATTATATATAATATTATATATATAATATTGTATATGTATATACATATATAATATTATATATACATATATATAGTATTATATATATAGTATTATATATATATAGTATTATATATATAGTATTATATATATACATATATATGTGATAATATATATATATACATATATATATATGATAATATATATATATGATTATATATATGATAATATATATATATATGATTATATTTGATAATATATATAGTATAATTTATGTATATAATTACTTAGATAATATATGATATATTTATAAGATGTATAAATCTATAATATATCATAAGATATATATATATACATATATGTATGTGTATAGTATTATATAGTATATTTTTCTAGAAAGCGAAATTTACAGAGATCCCGGATCCGAAAAATATATCCATTTATCCCAACTTATGCTGGTGAAAATTTCCTGATTACACCTAAAGATGGCCCAGCAAATGCGGTTGAGGATCTTTCGCTTATAGATGATGCTAACATAAAGTTGGTCGGATTATCAGACATTGAAGCAAAGATAGGATGATGTAACGTTACAAATGATGTTAATTGATTTTAATTGTTGGGATTAAAGATGATGGTAACATAACAACCCACCAAATATGGCCAAAAATATTGTACTAACGTACCTCCATTTTAGGATCCTGATTTTTTCTTTGAAGAGTGGTGGACCCAAGGCCCAGGAATCCCTCCTATTTGGGAATCCAACTATTACAACCGAAACTGGGTAGGGTTTACCAAAGTAATGTTAGTAAAGTAATGTCACAAACCATCCATATTTTTTCACATTTTGATGATTGGAATCCAACCTTTTTGCGGTAGTTTTGGGGATGGTAGATCCTATTGCTTTACGAATATTACAGTTCCATTCCATGAAAATATTCCATGTTGTATCCCATTAATGGCCCATTCAATCCCACTCTATATATGAACATATACATAAATAGTATAACCATAAATATCCATAAATATGTTCATATACATGATATATATATATATATCATATCCAATATTATTCCAGTTAAATCACCATTGGACCAACCATTCACCACCCATTGATTCCCATTTGGGCAAATTACGTTGTGACCGAACCCTGGAAGCATGGTGAATGTATAGGGGAATCATCCCCAAATAACTCTATGAAACCAGGTTTGTTAAAGATAATAATTTGCCCAAATTCGGAACCCTTTCAGTCAATTTTTCAGGACCCCTTTAAAATGGAGGTACGTAAACGTACTATATGTTTGGTCCATTTTGGCCCAATTTTGTGGGGATATTCCCTTGCATAGGCCTCAAAAATAGGCCTTATATATGGTAGGTAGCTCCATTTTTTTTCGGTTCCTGTTGCATGGCCGGCCATTGATGCCATTGCTGGTTTTAGGTCGTGGCAACACGGTGCTCCAGCCCCGAATCTGTCAAGCTTCGCATTGGAGGCGATGTCGGGTCATGTGGATTCCAGGTGCTTAACCACAAAATTCGTAAAACAATGCCATTTTTACCCTTTGGTAAACTAACATAGCTATTGAAAATGGCCATTTAAATAGTGGATTTACCCATCAAAAATTTGCGATTTTCCATAGCTATGTTAAATTACCAGAGGGTACCACCACTGGGAATGGTAAGGTTATACCACCTATAAATTCAGGGTAATGACTGGGGGATGGTGGGTTTTTTTCGCATTGGTTTAACCATCAAATGTGGATTTAATCGTTGGTTGATGGGGACATAGCTGGTAAATGATGGTGGCTTCATGACAAGCGGTTAGTACTACACAATCTGGGGAGATCCATAGTCCAGTGTGGGAATCCGCATAGGGATTGTCGACTAAATAAGTTTCAGTCATAATCCACATATTCATAGTCAACTAAACATTGTAAGGGATTTTCCATGATTTTCCCATAGGTTGTCGTTGTTTTATATATCACATTGTTTCAGACGTCTAAATCGAATCTACACCGATGCAGGTTGCGGGAGACGCAATGCTTGCTGATTGTGCCAGCCTCAGTTATGAACCTTGGTGACTTGTAGCTTTCAGTAGTTTGCTTCTTCTGTTGCCATGGGACCCTTGACTCAAAAAAGGCCTGAAGTCTCACAGAATCTCACAGATCTGAGTGATCCGCCCAGACGAAAGCCTGGGAATTCAGCTTGGTATAATACAATTTGGTGTAATACTACGAAGCGCCATATAAAAACACCCCAATGGGAAATCCACTACTGTACTTAGGGAATCCTTAAAGACTTTTTTTCTTGGTTTTAACTTTGTGGGTTGCTTAAGCAAGCAAATCCAAGCTAAGTAAAAGGACTTTGTTGGTTGCATGACTTTCACCCGATCCCACCAAGTGGAGGTTTGGTGCTGGGATCCCGTGGTTTCTTGGAAGCAAATGGCATTGAACTGTGCTTGATGCGTTCTCACGTTTGATCGAACCAACCCAAAAAAAGCGGGGTTCACCAAGAAAAATGATGAACACCCGTGGGACCGTGGGAATTGACCTATCAAAATTGTGAAGCAGTGCGATTCTTTTCGGATTTAGCCATCAAAAGCTGGGAAGAACCTCCGGGGAACATTTGAACAGTTGGGGTTCAGCGAGGGATGGTCCCCATGTCTGGGGAGCTGTTTTTCATCATCGGAGATACAAAAAATGGTCCCAAATGAGATTTTTTTCCATCCATCCTTTTGGGGAGATGTTTGATGCTCACATTTTTGTGATCAGCGGTTCATCCCAGTTAAGTGGCTGAAAAAAAAGAGTTATAAGTGGACTAAGGCTGCTTAGCCCATTTATATCCATTTATAATTTTTATAACCTACTTACTAAGTGGGATGAACCACCAAGTAGCAAATCTTGGTATCCAAAGATAGGACTGCTAGAAGTGGACTTGTCCCTGGTCACAGCCCCTGATTTTTCATCCACAACTTGGATGGTGCCAATGGACTTTCCTATTGGCTCACCATGGCTCACCATGTCTATTTCTTGGTAGATCAAAATTTCTTAAGGCTATTTCCAGCTGCATCTTGACCGTAAATAATCCTTTGGGGATCCATATTTTCGGAATCGGTGTTTCTACAGTTCCTTATTTCCTCATGTTTTTCTCAATCGACCAACTGTTTGAAGCCCATAGTTCTACTTCTTGGGATGTTTGTACAGTTTAGTCTTATTTGCAGTGTTTTCTCTGTCATTCTATTTTGGATGAATTCTACCTCCACTGCACTTTCTGCTGCTGTAATTTGATGTGTTGTAGAATTTGGGCAATATTATTTTTTTCAAAACTGACTGAAAGAAAAAATACAAGTATTGCAAGATAGGAACAACAATTCGTTCTTTTCCTATCTCAATTCAAATTGTTAATCATCTATAAATGGCTAAATCATCATTTTTATCATAAACTCTATGGGCCATGGCTTCCAGTTCGCAAAACGTTAAATAACAACAGGGTATTCAATCTTATTACCCAATATTTAAAAAAATAAGAACGAACCCATTATTACTTGGTGGCTATAGGTTATATCCTTGGTTCTTTGTGGAATTAGTAGGGTTAGTCCACTTATAACGAGGGTTGTAACATGTTAGAACATGTTATAAGCTACTTACTAAGTGGGATGAGCCACCAAGTACCCTTTGGTAAACTAACATAACTATGGAAAATGACCATTTATAGTGGATTTTCCCATTGAAAATGGTGATTTTCCATAGCTATGTTAAATTACCAGAGGGTAAGTGGGATGAGCCACCAAGTAATCCATGATACAGCCAATAAACAGCTTCCGAAAACCATGGGCTTCCAGGTGGACAAGTCGTGCTGCCAAAGCTTTGGGAGGCGATTTTGCTGTGGCTTCACGGTGGGTTTCAGTCATGGGGGGGTACCCCCAAAGCATCCAAGTCATTGGACCCTTTTTAGTATTGAAACCCTATGGTTTTGCAGTACCCCAAGTCGAAAAAGCACCCGTATCATGTATAGTAAAGCCTCCAAATCGGTGGATTTTGATGCATTTCACTCTCAAAAGAAGGGTTTTCGATGGTTTTTTGGGGGGAATCCAATCCTCTTTGCTTCGGACTCATTCCATGAAGCCATCTTTGGGACGATGCTTCACCGATCTGACCAGGCCTAGGACGATATTCTAGTGATGAAAATGCGCCCTGATGGTCATCATAGATCTGCTAGACCATCTCCTGGCCCGGTATGATGGTGGTCACTGTATCTGGTTGGTGGTTTGGAACATGTTTTATTTTTCCATAGATGGGGAATAATCATCCCAACTGACTAGTATTTTTCAGAGGGATAGGTCAACCACCAACCAGGTATGTAACTGTGGTTTAAGTGACGCCGCCCACATGCACAAAAAAGGCTGCTCTCAGATATGTGGTGTGTTCATCGCACCTGGATCCTTGGATGCGCATTTCAAATTATCAATACTTGTTTCGTTTGTTCAGTTACAATTGGAAATATCATATCTGGGTAAATTATAACGACCTCACTGTTCTCCCGAACCCTGGAATCATTATTAATAAGGGGAATCATCCCCAAATGGCCTTACACTAATTCAGGTCAGTGAATTATTGTTATTTACCCAGATCCATGATTTATAGGGTTTCAACCATCCTTTATACCATATGATAACCATAGATAGGAAATATCATATAACCATAGATAACCAGTTCGTATTATACTATATTTTATAGCCAGTTGGTGGGGTGAGATCCCAAGGAGTTCTATCCATCAAGACCTTCACTTGTGAGCCGCGAGGCTGTGGGAAGTGCGTTGCCCCCTGCCGTGGTCATCAACGGAGGTTGTGTCGGGGCACCGAACGACCTACTATGCAACTAGCAGAGTCAAGCAGTCTGGGCTTGTCATTTCGGGTTTATTAAATCTTAAGGATACTACAAAATATGGTTACTGTATGTTTAAGGTAACCTCTTCAATAAAAAAAACAAACTAATATGTGCCAGTCATATATTATATATAGTACCTATCATGATTTTCTCCATCAGGATGACTATGCTATTGTTTTTTCCTGTGAATTCCTCATCTTCCACATTACAACATATGTCTTAACATCTTAACAGTATTTCACATTGCCATAATTTCGAAGTGGGGAGTTTGATGAACATCTATGCCATAAACATATGATCAGCATTCATTATGAACACATGATGAACATTAAAAAAACATCTTCAAGCATTGGTTTATTCGTAAATCCCCAGTAAATCCCCATGAAAAATTTGGTGGATGGTTACGAAATGTGACGAAATCCGAATCACCAGTTGATAGGTGGTAAACATCCATCTGGGTAAATTTGATCACGACCAAACCCTGTTCTCCCGAGCCCTGGAATCATGGTTAATAAGGGGAATCATCCCCTTTTATGGCCTTACAGTAATTCAGGTGAGTGAAATATTCTATAATTTACCCAGATAGGGTGTTATATTCAAAATCTGGATGGTTTATTGCTTTGCCAAGATCCATGATTTTCTTTGGGTTTCAACATGTTTCAACCATCCCAAATTGGTGATTTTTATGAGGCGATGAACCTACCAGAGGCAATCTGCTGGCCCTCGGAGGTGCGTTGGTTCCAAAGACCGGGACGGGACGAAGTCACAAAGCAAAGAAGTCCCAAGGATTCACAACTTTTCAATAAAGAGATTGGGTAATTCATGGTGATTAATGGTGATATCTGGAAAAATCCTATAATTTTCATGGGAAAATCCAAAAAATCACCAAGATTTGGGTAAGATGAATGGGAAAATAGTGTGATTTACCCAGATATCACGGAATATATGAGTATTTAAGGCTCCTATAATGGAGATTAATGGTGATGAATGGGAATTAATGGGAAAATATAGTGGTATCTGGGAGATTATGGGTATAGTATGGGATATTACCCATAAATCTGGGTAAATTTGATCACGACCGAAGCCTGTTCTCCCGAACCCTGGTTCATGATGGTGAATGTAAGGGAAATTATCGCAATAAAATCCAATAAAGATATGGTTAAGTCCTTGGTTAAAATCCAAATTGTTACCATTACCAAGATAGGATTGTACATTTGTAGCCCCCAAAAGATTTTTTCTATGGTGCACAAAAAGGAATCACCGTATAGTTTCTTGGTGTCAAATAAGGGTGGTATCCCAAGGATTTATAAAGAATACTAACTATGGAGGATTCCTAAGTCATAGGGGTACCCCAACAATCATCCAACAGTGCTTATTCTCAATGGGAACTTTCCCATGTTTTGGGGTACCAATATTTTGGGAAACCTCCATATGATTTATGTGCCCATTGTGACTGTTATTGTTATTGGAACTATATCTATAATTATATGTATAAATAGTACTAACATGTATTAATTCATTTCATAACAATAGTAAGTAATAGTATATACGTAATCATATTCATCATACATGGAAATAAGATAGTGATAGTGGATAGTGGGAGTGTGTAAATATATATATATCAGAAATAAAATGAACATATCATGGATGAATTGGGAATAAGAATAACTATAGCAGTTATTAATATTGATTGTACAACTCCAACTATAAAATGAAACTTGATGTAAACCGGAACTGTTTGTATAACCATATTTAAGAACATTGTTATTCACCATGAATATGCATAACTAAGTTTACGTGTCATGGTCTAAACATGGTTATTAAATTCCCATAAAAGCAGATGATCATCAATCCATGGTCCATGTTCATAGGGATTTAGAATGATTTATATAGATTTACCCGGCCTGCTTTCTACGTTCTCAAAAAACGAACTGGAAAAATCCACCATGTTTTGAATGGGGTAAATCCACTATTTCGACTGGGCCATGTTCCAGTTCGCTTTTACTGTTAGTTTACCAGGCCGGGTAGCCAAATTGTAAGGATTTCCAATTCATGGGATGGATGGCCATAGATATCCATAGATCAAAAAAACTGTGTACACTGACCATGCAAAACATCTATTACCCATTTGGGGTACCGGGTAAACATACCCTCTGGTAAACGTTTACATAGCGAACTGGAAAATCACCATAATGGGAAAATCCACTATTTCGACTGGGCCATTTTCAATAGCCATGTTAGTCATTACCAGAGGGTACAGAAAAATGTCGAAAAGCCACTGGTGAAAGCCACGAAAATCATGATCTACATTCACGGTGGATTTCAGATTAGGAATCGTTTACGCAACGTGAACCGTTTATTTACGTTGGAATATTTCAAGGGAATAAAAATATCCAACAATATGTGATGTTTTTTTTTCACGAATGGGATCTGGAAAGATGGGAATAATTTAAGGTAATCTTTGCGACTGCGCTATTCCAATCAAAAAAGTAATTAGACAATTGTGTTGGATATCAGCTGCTGTGGTTTCAAAGCACAAGCTTCACTTTCCCTCTTGATGAAAAATGACCACATCATATGAGCCGCAAAAACTCCGACAATAGGAAACATGTAAGGACGGAGAACAGGTTTCAGAATTGGTGCGAAAAGGCGGGCCAGCCATGGGACCTTCATTGAAAGCACTCCTAGAAGATGCATCAATGGCATCAGCTCAGCTTGTCACCATCAGTTCAACTAAAGATCATGTTCGCGGCCATAGAACGAGATATGATGCTTAACTCAGTAGACTTTTCATAGCCATGAAAAACTGATCTGTGGGTCAACTCAGGCGGTGACATTCTTGCTCATCGGAGGATGTGATCACTTGTTCAGGCGCTTTTTTCGGGTAATTGGGACAATCCCCAGGCGGAGTGAAGACCATACAGCTGTAGCTGGCTAGTCTGCCTGTCTTCGGGGGGTTCAAAGCCGAGTAAAAGGCTGGTTGGTGCTTTGGAACATGACTTTTATGACTGTCCATATATTGGGAATAATCATCCTAAGTGACGAACTCATATTTTTCAGAGGGGTAGGTATACCACCAACCAGATAGTCACCGATTTATTCTTGGAGATCAAGGTCTGTCTTTGGGTTTCAAACTCTGATACGTTCTCTGTTGCAGACGATCCATCGACTTGTCGGTTTGCCAACTTGCCAAAAGTTTGAAACAATCCGGACCGATCTGATTTGGTCACCAACGTTTATTCGGCACAAAAAAGTGTGATTCCTGTTTTTCTCTAGGGATTACAGTATTTCAATGTATTTCATTAAAGTATACCCTAGGGACAGGCCACAACTTTCAAAATATACCCTATAGGGTGATATGTTTCTTTGAATCTCCTATATACCTGGCCCTTAAAAGGCTCCCTTGGAAGCCTTGGAAATTCCATGGAAATTCCCTTGGATTCTATGGCTCCCGGTTTATCCAAAAAGGCGAAAGATGCAAGGTAACATGACTAATGTCAACCCTGGATGAATAAATCCTAAACGGCTGTTTAGTTGGGAGGGTACCATAAAAAAGTATTAGATGAAATGACTATTGGAGGAGTACCCCCCCTAGCTAATGTCGACTATGGTTTATTAATCCGGGGTTGACATCATATATGACTACATTAATGACTATCATAGGTGAGTACAAGGTTCTTTCCCCAGTGGTTTGAATGTGTGGTTTATTCATAAGCAACGTTGGAAAAGCTCTGTCATCAACGCCATGGATCAGCTCGCAAGCTCCATAAACGCCAGGTCGAATATGACTCCTGAGGAGTACATGGTCGGTACCCAGCAGTGCGTTCCTGCAACCAACCAGCACCTCGACGGATTGGATGATTGGATTCTCGATGTGAATTTTCAACTGGATTCCAAAGATCCATGGAATTTATATGAAATTATAGGGACTCCCTGGCTGATGGGACCTGAAAAAATCCGTCATCTTCCCATAGAAAATAGGGCTTTCGATCATGTTTTCGTAGTATGGGAGCGGTATTGGATTCCTGAGATGTTTTCCACTGTAGTGTTTTGGGTAGAATATCATCCACAATATGTATCTGGTTGGTGGTTTCAAACATGTTTTATTTTCCATTTCATATATGGGATGTCATCCTTCCCATTGACGCACTCATATTTTTCAAGATGGTTAAAACCACCAACCAGGTATTTTGCGGAGAAATCCTAGGTCATTGTCGGTCCATTGTTGATGTTGGCGAAGTGATTTGTTGAAATGTTGTCATGCTGAAAACCTCGGTAAACCCCCGTGATTGGATGAGCGGATTGCCCTTCAAATGGTGCTAACTGGACCCATATGCTCCATGGTGCTGGAATATTTACTGTACATATATTTACCAACAGTTAGCCCATAAATGACCCAGTTTTGTAGGTAAATAGTCACTATACATGGAGCATATTAGGCTAAGTCTAAGTCAATTTTTTTCTACGTGCTATCTCTCAGAGACGTGAGGATCAACAGCCACAAGTGATCATCATTTTTCACAGCAGGAAGCCCACTCTCTGGGGATCAACATCCAACTATTCAGTACCAGATCTTGGGGTCCCATTAGGCATATTTGATTATATATGGGGGTTGGATGTTTGGGCAATCAACCTGGCAGATACAAGTCGATATAAGATATGTATATATATATACACATATAAGCATCAAAAGTCCCCTTCAACTGGGATTTTTCCCGTTTCCAAATGGCTGAGACGGGAAAGAGTTGATCGATTAAGAGACCTCACCAGTGACTTGCTGCGATCCGTCCGAAGACTCAACCAATGAGGTCCACTGCCTTGCTCTATATCAATGAGATGGAGCACATGCCGCAAAGTCACCTGTTCGGAAGACCCAGTCTTTTTCGGGCCAGGATTGGCTGCTGGGGAAATAACCCATTTGGAAAAGTGATAACCATTGGAGTTCCCGAATTTGGCAGAAAAAAAGTGCGGTGAAAACCCATGGAAACCTCCATACTTGGATGGTTTTCCCAGGTTTCCTATAGAGTTTCGCTGAACCCAATCCATGGATCCTAGTAACCAACAGCTCTGGAAAACCCCGCACTTAAAGAGTGCCAGTGAAAATCCAAGAAAAATTACAGTAGCTAAAAGCGTCATGTTTCTATATTCCCATACTCAACCTGTTCGAACAGGCCTTTTTTGGTTGGCTAAAAAAAAGAGTCCAATAGGAAAAGTACCCCCGAAGTCCAATGGTTTATCATCGTCCCCATTGCGCATTTTGGTGCCTAAATTTTCAGACACACCCATATGTTTATATTGGTGGTTATTGATGAAAAACAGACATATATCATATATCTATCATTATCTATCTATATATCCCATGTGATATCCCCATGTTTTATATCCCCATTAAACATTGATGGTTTTCCTACATGAATTTCCCATTTTGATCACCAGCCCATAGCGCCATGTTTCCATCTGTGGCTTTGAAACGTGCCCCGGAGCTCGGAGGTTTGCTCTGATTTTGCCTCACTTGCTGCGTATTTGTCGTGCTCTCAGTGGTCGTGACGAGGTCGTGACGAGACGGAAGGGATGTGACTGGAGACCCAAGAGCAACATAGGTTTCTCATTTTACTGTACCCTCTGGTAGACTAACATAGCTATGGAAAATGGACCATTTATAGATGGTTTACCTATTAAACATGGTGATTTTCTATAGCTATGTTAAATTACCAGAGGGTAGTATATTTGAGTATATGATATGGCTTTGTCTGATGTTTTTTTTCCGTCTAAATCATTCTAAATCGATGGATCCATTGCTTACTCAGCATTTTCCCTCTGAAAAACGTAGCATGTGATGATTCTCTTGGAACCATGGCTTTGGCGTGTACCTCCCCATGGATCTTTTGGATCGCACCCCCCAACCTCGGAACCATGGTGGATGTGGGGGAAAATGTTCCCATTTACATTTCCAAACCCATGACGGATCCATGGTGCTGGTAGAAAAATGCTAACATGACTGGGGTTAATCTTGATGGGATCCATGGCACACCATATATAGCAGCACCAGCCGGATCCGTCATGGGAAACTGTGAAACAGAGGATCATCCCCCAGGCATGGCGTGGAAGCGTAGGGTCCGGGCACCGAGCCGTGAGCGCGGGCAAGGAACTGCTAGAGCTGAAATCCGTGTGTTTTCCTAGCCAGATATTTAGATGATCTTGGAATATCTTAATTCCCCACCTACCAGGTGAGGGTTGTTAGATTTTATCAGAGTTGTTCTTCTCCTCCTCCTCCTTCCTCCTCCTCCTCCTCCTCCGCGTCCTCCTCCTCTTCTACCACCTCTGCCTCCACTTCCACGTCCACTGTTGCCTTGCCAACTCTTGGCCAAGCTCTTCGCCAACTTCGGAGCTCAGTGCGCACTGCTGGACCTCAACCTGGGACCTTCCCAGCTCAGTGCGCACCGCTGGACCTCAACCTGGGACCTCCCTAGCTCAGTGCGCACCGCTGGACCTCAACCTGGGACCTGCCGAGCTCAGTGCGCACCGCTGGACCTCAACCTGGGGCCTTCCGAGCTCAGTGCGCACCGCTGGACCTCAAAAGCCAGATAGAATGCCAGAAGATATGCCAGATAGAATGTCAGATAGAATGCGAGAAGATATGCCAGATAAAATGCCATAATTAAGATATGCCAGATAGAGTGCCAGGAGATATGCCAGATAGAATGCTAGAAGATATGCCAGATAGAATGCTAGAAGGTATGCCAGATAGAATGCCAGATAAAATGTCAGATAGAATGCCAGAAGATATGCCAGATAAAGTGCCAGAATGTTTGCCAGATAGAATGCCAGAAGATTTGAGTAGATAATATGCCAGAAGATATGCCAGATAGAATGCAAGAAGATATACCAGATAGAATGCCAGAAGATATGTCAAATAGAATGCCAGAAGATTTGCCAGTAACAAAATGTATAAATGCCATGGTGGGGATCACACGAAGTAAAGTATTTTTTATTTTTTTATACATACAGCTTTTTTGGATAGTATATTTTATATATATATATTATTCTATACATATATGTGTATATATATACATATGTGTGTATGTGTGTTCAATTATAAAGATGATATTAGCTGGAATTAGCATCCGCCAAAGGCTTAACTTTAGCTGTTGATCAGCACCTCAGGATAGTTTGTGGCAGCACGATTTGTGGATAGCAGATACTCACATAGGGGGGGGTCCATAAATAAAAGTACTCCAATAGCTGGATGTTTTTTTGTGGAAAAACCTATTAAAATGGATGATTTTGGTGTACCCCTATTTCAGGAAACCTCCACATGTTTGGAGATCACAGAGAATTGCATGCGCTCGTATTTGTCTCCCTATCTCACATCTAAAGACGAATCATTCAGTGTGAAGTTGAAACATGTTGTAACTCAGAACATCAAAACTGGATTTACAACTTTATCTGGAACTTTTATCCATGGAGTTTTGGATCTTTTTCCAATGAAACCTTTAAAAAAAGGCAACGGTCTTTGTCCACCTTGTTCCGGCCGTGCTGCGGTGAGGTGGAGATGGCGCCCTTGCGGGAATTGCAATGTTTGCTCACGGAGTTAAACAGTTGCCGCGGAGAGTGGTCGTGGCCTCGGATGGCCGTGGCCAGTGAGAACTGAGAACTCTCCATTTTGAAAGAAAAGGACACATCGGAAGTCAATGGAAACGATGAGAATTATGCATGTTTGGGTGAATTCCTGGGTTTTCAGAAGCATTTTTGTTCCGGTTGTTTTTTTGTGGTTCAGATGGATAGCTTCAACGACACCCTTCGACACCGCGTCAAGGACGGGATGTCTTTCTTTCACCACCGGTGCTGGGTGGACTGATGTTCCTTTCGGTTCCTTGGCGTGGCGCCATGGCGTTGCGTTGCTGAGACGAGCTTGGGATATGTGGGATATTTATTGGATATTTAGCTCCAAACATAAGGGATGGCATAGGAAACCCATAGGAAAACCAAGGGAAAATGGAGGTTTACCCTTTGGCAAATGTATACAAAAAACTATGGAAACATCCACCATTTTTGATGGGTAAATCCACTATTTCGACTGGGCCATTTTCAATAGCAAATTGTAAACGTTTACCAGAGGGTAATATAAAAAAAATGATTTAGCAAACAAACAGATCAAACATGTTGATTTAAAAAATAACAATCCAAGATTGTAATTTAACAGGCATATAATATGATATACATATATATAATTATATATATATAATTAATATAATGGTATTTTGGTGGCGATTTAACTGGGGATGTAATGAAATATTCATGGGGATATAACTTAAGTTATCACAAGGGCATACCGCATACCGGTAAGACAAACCAGTTGGCTATGGACAATCAACATGTTTGATAGGTTTTGATTACTGTAAACCATCTATAAATGAGCGCTATCTTAGGATTCTTCCATCCCAACCGCCCAATCTGGGACCCAAAATCTGTACCCAAAATGGATGTGTTCCACTTCATCAGTGCAGAAAAAAAACTTAGAGCCTTTTGGTGGTTGCTCATCATGGTTCCGAGTTTCGAAGTCTTGCTTAAACCACGTTGAAAACCATGGTTTTCAGCCGATTTCTGGACAAAGTCATTTCTGTATCCCGGATTCATCAGCATGTTGGATTGTTGAATCCCTTTGGTGGTGAACCAACCCCCATGTTGGACGATCCAAATAATGAGGTAAACCTGATGATAAACCATGCCCAATTTCACCAGGGCTGTATAAACTTAGGTTAGCTTATAGGTTGGTTTAGGATTGGGTTTACCACATTCAAAAAAAAAAATGAACAGTGTCAAAAGCCCATTGGTCTAGTGTCAATATTGGGCTTCCACTAACCTAAAACGGATCATGAAATAATCCATCATTGGAATAGCTAACTTTCCAAGCATAAAAAAAAGAACGCAATCCGGTCAACTTGACTATCATCCCAGTTAGGCAATCAGAGGACGCTGCTCAGTCAGGGGACGTGCAAGGCGTGACAGGGTGCCCAGGGTGTAGGTCAAACATGGCGAGTTCAAGGGTCTGGGGAATGGTTTTTTGGGCGACTTCCGGTTGCGATGTCACTATAGATTATGGTTAGACAAGGGAAAATCATCCACAAGATCCACAGGTAGTCTTGTGTCATGTGGGTGAATTACAGTGAATTCTTCGAATTCAGCCGGAGTGAATTCACATGAATTAACAACTTCAATGGGGCCTGAGGGTCTTCTGAACAGATTTGGAAAAAAAATAGCGGCTGCCCGTGATAACTTCCCAATCTTCCTGGCTGCCAGATCCAGCACAGGTTGAGTATGGTCAGCGACAAGGTTGGATCCATTCACCCACACAGTGTAAAGCTGCAGTAGGGGCGTTCAGTAATTAAACATGTAGCCACGCGTGGCTAAAACAGCCATAGTGGTTACGTTGTCGCTGCATCCTAAGAATTTGTTGTCGCACGCTTGTAAAGCACGATTGCTGTCTGCTCGATGCAGATAGCGTGCTAAATGAAAAGGCGATACTGGAAACCACTGCAGCATCCTTTGGTGCTGCGCGACTTGAGATAAGTCCTAAATCCCTGAATACTCCAAATTGGACTGCGACAATGACTGGACTTGTTGTGACAAAGGCTGATTTCTTAGCCACATCAACTACTTAAATTTTGCCAAAGTCTCGAAATATATATATATATTTCAGGTTTTTGTGCATCCAAGATTTAAAGTTTGTCTAATTGTCGGTTTTTGTGCATCCAAATGTTTTTTCCAGATTTTGGATAGAAGCCACGGCAGTCCAGAATTTGTTCATATAGATATGTTGTGGAGATCCACAACTACGATTCATGGTTGGTAAATGACATGAGGCCATGGAAGTGGCGACGAAAACGGAGTGGGGCTGGCAGGGCTGCAGCATCTTTATTGGTGGAAGTGATCGATTTAAGTGGAATTTAATGGATCCTAACTGATTTTATAATGGATTTACATGTTGGATGCTAATGGATATAAATGGATGCAAATGAATTTGAATGAATTTGAATGAATTTTGAAAGTTGATAATGATGGAACTTGATCGAAATTTCCATGGTGAATCTGAATCCCAGTTTCTGGCCCTTGTAGTTGCCTGGATTTGGAGCCATAGACGGTTGATTTTTGTGGGATATCGCTGGTAGCCAGCGCAAATCCTTAAGTTCTGCGCAGTTGAAGTAGCCAGGGAGTTGTTCGGGTCTGAGATGCGGTATAGATCCAAGACTGAAGCTGAATATCAAAGAGAAGGAATCCCAACATTGATATATTTATATATGTTTTTTATATGTTTTTATATGTTTGTTCTTTAGTCTTGTGCCATACCGCAGCCTTCTGCAACTGCAACCCTTGGTTCATGACCGGGTCAACGGCTCAACCCTTCGGCGAGGAGGTCGTCATGAAAATTCAGGCCACGCCTTTTTTGGCGCTCGGCAGTACCTAGAGACACACCGTCTGAGACAGCGCAGCGATTTTTTCAGGATGTGTTGCTAGGTGCTCAGGTGTTGATTTAGAGAACTTGTGGCAGTTGAAGACTCAACAGCTCAAGCAATCGTAAACTCATGGCTCGGCAGCAAGAAGAAAACACCTCTTTTGGCACACCACTTGAGCCACTCGTGCCGTCCTCCCGTCCTCGTCCTACGCTGTCGTTTGAGGTGGGGCATTGAGAAAAGAAATCCAGAAATGCGGTAGGTGTAGGCGGTGTAGGTATCTTATTCTGGATGATGTTGGATGATGTTGTCCTTTGGACCATAGCCAAGTCGCTTGCATGACTCTTGATATTAGATTCCAGATTCATTCATTTCATTCAGATTCTGTTAGCATTGGCATATATTGGCATATGTTGACATTGTCACCGTAACAGTGATAACAGTGACAAGTGTGAGTATGATACTGGTTGGTGGTTTGGAACATTTTTTTCCATATATTGGGAATTTCATCATCCCAACTGACTTTCATATTTTTCAGAGGGGTAGGTCAACCACAACCAGGATATGTCTTCATATGCCTGCACTGTATTGAAAATGTCAGACCTCTTCATCCCCCTGGGATTGGCACCAGTTGTACAAGGTGTAGGAAACCTTCAGGAACAATTAATATACGTGTTCTATCGTTTTCCAAAGGGCACCTGTTGACTTAGTATGACTTAGTCCCATAGCACAAATCTGAGTAACTTTGGACATTTAAAAGATCACCATATTTTTTCACAAAACTGGCATCCCTCTTGGCCGAGCCGTGCTTTAGTCATCCTTCACCCTTGGACTAGCAGGAACTGTGACGCCAATTTGAGGATACTGGATTTTGAAACCGCTTTGGCTATAATTTATTCATATAAAAATTCTATTTTTGTGTCAGTTTCGATATTTTTCAAGATGTTTCAGCGTGTTTTGAAGCGTAGGGATGTTCTAGTACCACCAAGCCCTGCACAGCCCATTTGGGGCTTGGAACGGACGTCATGAGACCCCATCCTTCCTTCATTATATATATATATATTTATTTATTGATTGATTGAGTGAGTGATTGATTTGATTGATTTGATTGATTTGATTGATTTGATTGATTTGATTTGATTTGATTTGATTTGATTGATTGATTGATTGGTTGATTGGTTACATCATGTTACATCCCCGTGTTTTGTGGTTAATATTCGGGTGCATTTTTTTCTGCGGTTACATTGAATCTCCGGCTTGGTGAATGATGAATCAATCTATCCATGTATCCAGATCTATTTGTATATAGGAAAGAGTTTGAATACTGTGAAATCCAATAGGTAATTCTAATTCTTATCACTTCTTATCACATTAGATCAATGTCTCCAGATCCATTATTACCCGGATCATTCATCCTATATCAATTTCAAGAGAATTAACTATTACTCTATCGATTCCTATTTCAACTCTCTTTTCCCCAATAGTAACTCATATAGTAATTGATAAAGTAATCATTAATTACATGACTAATTCTCCTATATCAATTACCCTCTGGTAAATTGACATAGACCATCATAGACCCTGAAACAACCCATTTTTAGTGGAAACTAGTCTTCCAACCCCTATTTGCCAGGGTCTATGTTGATTTACTGGACAGTAATATCATATCATCATGTTTATCATCTATAAATGGGCCATTTTCCATGGAATTATAAGGGTAATTTACTGAAGTGTCATAGGTTTATCTCTTTACAATGTTACTATGGTTGGTGGTTTCAAACATGTTTCATTTTCGATTTCATATATGGGATGTCATCCTTCCCATTGACGCACTCATATTTTTTCAAGATGTTTCTTTTAAACCACCAACCAGCTCTATTTAAAATCCGGCCATAATATAGCAGTAATAATAATAGGTAAATAATGGTAAATCAACTATAAATGGGCCATTGTCAACCATTATTAACAATCATTAATAGATATATAGATAGGACTAGATGATATGGCGACTTAGAGGATATCTAAGATACCCATAATATTACAATGTTAACCATTATTAACCATGAAATCAACCATTATTAACCATTTAATCAACCATTATTAACCATTTAAACAACCATTATTAACCATTATTAACCATTTAATCAGCCATTATTAACCATTATTAACCATTATTAACCATTATCAACCATTATTAACCATTTAATCAACCATTTAATCAACCATTACTCATCATTACTAATTTCATTGGATTGGTTTAAGGGAAAATTTACAGGAAAGCCCCATATTTAATGGTAAAAACCATGGTTTCCTGTAGATTTTCCCTTAAACCAATCCAATGATAATTATGACAACCATTTAATGAACCATGAAAATCCAGTGAATTTCCATCCCGAGTGGATCCGTGTGAGGGTCGATGGCGCCCTTAAGCGTGGAAGACTTGGAACAGGCCGTCGCAGCGGCTCTGCAAGCACAGGTGCCACCTGCGGGAGGCAGCCAGAGGTCGTTCACCAAGCAAAAAAAAGGGCTGAAGCATGGGGATTTTACATGATACCATCAAAAATGTGGAGCAAATCAGCAAACCGGGGATTTCACATGATTTTACCATCAAAAATGTGGAGCAAATCAGCCAACCATTCATAAAATGATGAAAAAATATGGATTCAATATGATTCAGCCATCAAATGCGGGGTATCGCAATGGAAAATGAGGATTTCGCAGTCAAGAGTGAGATCTCTTAGCCATCAGAAATGGAGATTTCACCATCAAAAGTATGGATTCAACGATCAGAAACTGGTGATTGTTTTTTTAAAAAAAGATGACTCAACGCCGTTGAACGCAATTCAATTTCCATCCAAAATTGAGAATTCATTTTTCTTAGGCTGGTGTATGGCGTGGAAACTCGGATGACTTGTTCTTATATCGGAACTGGGTTGAAGCCCGCAACTGGTAAAAAAATACCATGGAGTGGGGCCGAGTTGAATGCGTTTTGCTTCTTTCTGCCCAGATGAATTATATGAATTGAACATAGTTGAACAACGCTTGTTTTTTGCAAAGTTTGATGCGTTTTGCAGCTTATTTAAGGAAACGTGATCCTGACATGCCTCGGATGATTTTCGTAGGGGCGCCCATATCATCCCATATGGGGGTCATCATCCGTGTCTATGAACCAGTGAGATTTTTTGGCTCCAAAGCTACTGTCTCCTTTTTTGTGATGACCCATGGTGGATGCTGTAAAGCTAAAGCCCAATGGATTCCTTTTTTGTCTTCAAGGCTTACGACCAAAATCATCCAAAATCTGCAAAAAATAAGGCTGAGTCTGATTTGTTCTTGGTTTTGCCACATGAGTTTCGGTCCCGGCTTGTACATTTTGTCAAGTTAGACCCAGTCAGATGTGTGGCCGAGTGCTGGCAGGACAGTGACCGCAGTGAGTCGTGCTTATCACCAGCAGGGGCCCAGGAAACCAGGAATGATGCCAAGTTATACAACAACAAAAAATGGAATTCAAGTAATATTGAAGCCACAAGAAAAAGGTAACATATGGATATAGAATGATATATATATAATATACAAGGAATATTTTTTTTATATAAGTAGAATGTTATAAGTAGATAATAATATTATCTAGTAGAATTGCCCAAGGTATAACCACTTCTTAAATATATTCATATACATCTATTCACATCCTAACATATCTAACATGTTCATTTGTTTTAGCCAAGGTTTCTCACCACACATCTCTTCATGGCCATAGATCCTTGGAGATGAAGCCGTGGAAAATTGATGAGAAAACCATGGTTCTGTGTTCGCAAATAGGCAAGGTATTCTGGTAATTTAAGGTATGAAAATGACCATAATATTACCTTTATCATTATGACATTTATATACAGTTATCATATGGCTGTGTATATTGATATATTATGATATATTACCACTCTGATCCAGACATTGTTATGGTGATTGACCTATCTTTTTGATGGCTATGTTATATTGCCGAGTGTAATGACAGCGACAAGTTCTGGATTTTTCCCAGGGAACATGATAATAGATCACTGGTTTTGACAGTTGAGGGTACCCACTTCACGGATTTCAGTTCCTTCCTTGGAACTGGCATGGAAACATCAAAAACATGATTTGGAATCTATTTATCTAGTTTGTGCATTGGGAAACTGGTTATATACATTGTGATTCGCTGAACCATAAAACAGAGCAACATATTAGACATTGAGTCTATGTCAATATCCATGTTGGGATGTATAATGATGTATATATATATATACATGAATTATGAATGCCTCATAGAGTTACATGGGTCTCGTACATGCTATTAGAGTATTTCAATTCAATGGCCATTTCAGGTACCTAAACTGGAGGTACCGTGCAAGATAAAGCCATAGAAATTGGGGGTATATCTTATCTCCCTGAAATTTAGCCCTAAAAAATAGACCTTATATATGGTCCTCCAACAAACCGGTTCCTGACATGGCCACTAATGAAATATGATATTATTTATTATCATCAGTTATTATCGTTTACTATGATTATACATAGTCGTTTGATGAAACGAGACATGTCGTTTCATTGTTTTTGTGAATAATATATATATATACATATAAATATATATATATTATATATATATAAGATGTGCATTTCTGTATATATATATATATATAACTAAAGTATACTAAAGTTACAAAAAGGGCTTATTCCACAAAAATCTCCTGAAAGATCGCTGGGTGTTCTATCCGTCACCAGCCTCGAGGTCCTGGAGGCGCTTCGAAGTCAGTCAGACTTGGCCGAGCCGCTCGCTTCGCAAGCTGGGAAATCCATGGAAATCCTCGAACGACATAGGAAAACCATGGGAAAACCATAGGAAAATGGGAAAATCATAGGAAAACCATGGGAAAATGGAGGTTTACCCTCTGGTTATGACTAACATAGCTATTAAAAAATTGCGATGTATAGTGGATTTACCCATTATATAAGAATGGTGATTTTCCATAGTTATGTTAGTTTACCAGAGGGTAAATCCTAGGAAATGTCTAGACATGGAGGTTTAGTTCACTCGGAATCTCATCTATAAATCCTATCAAATATCCTATAAATGGAGGATGTTCCAGTGCCGTGTTTGACACCGTTTGGGGCCATTTTTTTGGGCGACCAACCGTGGCACCCCTATCTGGTGACCCACTCGAGGAGATCATGAAAACAGTGGTCAGAAATACCGCTGGATGATGAGTTTGGGGCTTATACTACTTGACATTTACATAAAAACTGGAGATTACCCTCTGGTTATGACTAACATAGCTATTGAAAATGGCCATTAATAGTGGATTTACCCATTAAAAATGGTGATTTTCTATAGCTATGTTAGTTTACCAGAGGGTATTGTTTTGATCACACTATTATGGGAATCCGGTTCTTAATCAGTAGCGGAATGACACTGGGTTTTGAAGACTCTCATGGGTCAGTGTAATATGTTGCGTGTGTTGTGCATTTGTGTGCATGAATTTGTTAAAATGTGTACCATCTGGTTATTTGTTCCATAGCCATGGAAAATCCACCCATTTTTAAGAACGGTAAACAGGTATGGCCCATCTACAAATGGGCCATCTATACTATGGCTATGTTAGTCATAACCAGAGGGTAACCAGAATGTGTGTTTTCCATTGAAATATGGGTATAGGATGGTGGCTAGGTCAGGTCATTGGGTACCCCAATCATTAGATGATTAGTTCATAATCCCTTCCCCCTACTATTTAAACACCCACTTAGAAACTCGGGAAAATCCACATTTTTTGGGGGACCATAAATTTCGGGTGTTTACCCTTTGGTAAACTAACATAACTATGGAAAATCACCATAGACATAGAAATAGTGAATTCTCCCATGAAAAATGGTGGATCTTTCCAATATAGTTATGTAAGCGTTTACCAGAGGGTAATATTAGGGTGATGGGATTATTCAAGATACCTCAACCATTCCCATTGCCAACTATATCTAATTATAATTCCCTTGTTATAAATAAACATGATATAGAATGGTGTCGATATAAAGTTACAGTAATTAATGTTAACTACAACTTACTGTTAGTTACAAATGCCCACGAAACCGAGTCATTCTAAGTGTCTAAGATTATCGTTTTGGAAACCTGGGGGTCATTCTAAGTTGCAGATATGCCATATAGATCCTACCAGAAGGAAAATGTTTATACCTTTGGGGCTACATTCCCCCCGTTCAGAAACACATTGCGTCCCTGGCGCCGAAGTCAGCGCCATGATGAGGTCCTTCTGGCCCGGTCAGTCGGGCCAGTCCTCCAAATCCTCCGGTGGCCGGGTCCCCGGGTCGCTCACTGCGACCTCACTGGATTCATGGGACTGGGACCGGGGACCGGATTAGGGGAACTACCCGGCCTGGTAAACGTTTACATAACTATGGAAAATCACCATAGAAATAGTGGATTGTCCCATGAAAAATGGTGATTTTCAATAGTTATGTTAAATAACCAGAGGGTATCCCAAAATTGAGTGAAATATGATAATTTACCCAGCTAGTTTATTGGTGATGAAGCAAGGAATTTCATGGTTATTGGACTTATTGGAGATTATGAACCCATATGATCCATATATGAATGGAAAACCTATCAACCAAGTTAATAACTGACTGGTACGTGAATAAGCAATGAGTTGGTGGTTAAAACCAGGTGGTTTTCCAGTGGTGATAAATTTGGGTCAGCTGTTGGTTACTGACCACTTTTTACAGAGCTGTTGGATGATCCTCCAAATCCTGATGTTGATTCTATTTTTTTTGAAATGCCAATTCTTCATGGTTTTTGTCGGATTGTTTATTGCTATTCAGTGGTTCATGTTCCATGAGTTTCATGTTAAAGTTTTGAAAAGTCTCCATTTCCCCAGATTTTTTATGGCGAACTCCCCAGGCCCCGCCAGAGACTACTCCAGAGTCACCGGGGCGTTCGATCGACTGGTCAAGGCTGAAGATGTCCAGATGAAGCCAGGGATTCAGAGTTGTTCAATGGGAAATCCACTAAAGTTGGGGAAGCGAGAATGGGAATGTTTCAAAGCCAAGTATTCTCTATGAAATGGGGAGCTACGAGTTGAGTGTCTCAAACACATGATAGTTTATGTCGTTTGCAATTTTGACGAGATAAGAGAAGCACAAATCGGCTAAACATTGATTTTTGATAGTCTCATGAGGCTAGCTACGGATTTCGATACTGCATCAACCATCACGCCTCAACCATTTAGCGCCTTATAGCAAGTGCACGCGTCGTCTCTGAAAGCAGAAAGTATCGGAACAAGCTGAAAGAGTCTCCAAAAAAGAATATTTTACAATAGTTTAAAATCACTTTATAATTAGTTATGATTTATGTCGAAAATCGATAGTATAATAGTTTATAATCGCAAATATGTTCAACACAGGTTGCCACAGGCCTTGTTTTCTTTTGGCGCACACTGCGAATACAGGGGTGACCAGGATGAATAGTTCAGGACAGGAGGCAACTATTCCAGCCTTTCTGTTATGGGGAGAAAAACCACTTTTGGGTGCAGTTCCAGTTGTAAGTGGTGATATTTCAATATATTTCACCATAGTTATGGGGGTGATGTTTGAAAATATATCCTTAACTATGGTGAAAGAAAAATTGAAATAGTACCACTTGTTACTATGGTGAACAAATTGAAATGTGGGGACTATTTCATCCCATGGTCTTCTACCCGTCAAGATCGCCGACAGGGCAACTGCAGCTGGTCTTCCAAGCTTGCTGACCTCATGAGATGTACTTCAGCCACTGGCCGTTGAGACGAACCCTGCTGGTCTGTTGAGGATTGTGAGTTTTTGGTGCTCAGAAGCAGAAACAAAAATGTCATCTTGGGGATAGAGATATGGAATTCCATGTCGGCTTGTTCCAATGGACACGCCACCACCAAGGCTTGGGTAATGCCGGCCCTGCCAAGGCGGGGGGAAGTGCCAAAATCCGCCAAGGTATATATATATATATACACACTATATACACATATATATATATATATAGAGATGCATATATAATATAGATATAATATATATATATATATATAGAGATGCATATATAATATAGATATAATATATATATAATAGATATATAATAGATATATAATATATATAATAGATATACAATGTATATAATGTATATAATATCGATATAGATATGGGGGTTGATGGAAACTTTGAGGATCAGCCCAAAACCTCGAGTTTGAGGTGTAGAACATGAGGGGATGGGGAAGCTCCACAAAAACAGGATGTTAGCCAGTGATATTTTCCCATCACGTTCCATTGCATATTATGATTGATATTGATAGTGAGAACCATACATACCCTCTGCTAAACTAGCATAGCTATGATAAATCACGATTTTTAATGGGTAAATCCACTATAAATGGGCCATGTTCAATAGCAAACTGTTAAATTACCAGAGGGTAACCATGAGTGATTCGCAACCGCTACTCATCATGCTAAGTTCCATGGTATTTGGTCATTTCGACCATGTTCGCCAACATTCATATATCATCATATATCATCATATATCATCATATATCATCATATATCATCACATATCAGTCATTCGATTGATCATTATTTCTTCTAGCCCTTATCACTAAGTTGTATATCAATAGTTGGTTATAATGATCATTATATGAGTATTATATGTTTTTTCTTAGTGTATCAGCCATTATCATCAGCCACTTAGCTATTAGCCATGATAGATCAACCGTAGGGGATCCCCAAATCCATAGGTTTCAATACTAAAATGCTAAAAAAAATTTGGAGGATAGATGGGGGTACCCCATTTCAAGAAACCTCCGTTGAACAACCAGGAAGATACCCTCTGGTAAACGTTAACACTTCGCGAACTGGAAAGATCCACCATTTTTCATGGGTAAATCCACTATTTCTATGGGCCATTTTCACCATCCTTGTTGACGATCCACGGGAAGCACGGCGCATTTCCGGCCTAAGAAGGGCCTTTCTTAGGCGCCCCTTCGCCCATTCGGACTTCAGCGAGAAGTCCGACAAGTCCGAGGCGGCGCCAAAGTGGGAGCCCGGGCGAATGGAGGTGCGCGGCCGGCGAACTCACACGACGCGCTAGCCATGGGGGATTTAGCCTCTGGTTATGACTAACATAGCCATGGAAAATGGATGAAAATGGCCCATTTATAGGTGTTATGACTAACATACTAAGTTCGCCATGGAAAATGATGGCCCTAATCGAAATAGATTTCATAGGTCTCAATGAGATCTACGTGGATTGAATGGGATTGAATGGGATTTAACCTGGAAAACCATGGTGATTTCCCCTCTGGTTATTTGTTATATAGCCATGGTATAGATGGCCCATAGAAATAGATGCTTCACCGAACTTAATAGCATGGTGATTTTCTTTGGCTATGTAACAAATAACCAGATGGTACCATTGGGGTTTACCATTGGTCAATTTTTGTTCGGTTTTTTCATGTGGATTGAAAAAATGATTTTCTAAAAAATGTTACATTGGTATTCCGATATTCCGATATTTATGAATTTGTATGGGATTGAATGATTAATGTTGGTTTAATGATGTTGAATGGGGATTCATGTTCAATGGATTTAGCAAACATACGGATTGAGGATTTGCCTTCTGGTAACTTTACGTCATATGAGCCACCAAATAGCGATGCCCCCATTTGAAGGCTACGTCACATCAGTGCACACATCATTTTTATTTACCCTCTGGTAATTTAACATAGCTATGGAAAATCACCAGTTTTTTATGGGAAAACTCACTATAAATGGTCATTTTCGATAGCTATGTTAGTTTACCAGAGGGTAAGCAATACTCCCCAATTTTGCCATACACCATGTTTGTACAAAGGTGTGGTTCAAGTGATCGGACCTTCCCAGATTTCTTTTTTTGTCCTTTTCGTGAACCTTGAGTTTCCGAGATTGCTTATATGGGTTTAATGATATTGGATGAATGATTTCATGGTGATTGTTGTGTTTAATGACTTGACCACCAAACATAGGGTTAACAATGATTTTATATGCTGATTTATCTGGTGATTCATAACATTCATGGTGATGATTGATGATGAATGGCGATTTGCCCTCCCGTGATATAACAGCTAGTGATGGGAATATAACTGGATATGAACGGATCATGGGATATGAATGGAATATTATGGAATATTGGTAGGGATATAATGGAAGATCAATCTGGATAAATGATGCTACTCTCGGGTCTTTCAATAGTTTGCCATACAAAATGACCCATTCAATCCATGTACTGTACCTACGTGATATTTTAATGGTGACTTTCGCTCAACAAATTACCAGAGGGCCAGCAGAAATGTGAAACATCTTCGGATTTCATCCAAAAATCCTTGAGATTTGGCCGAACATATTCGGAACCAACAGACATGGGTGATTCCAAAATACGGGAATTTCCTACGAAATCATGAGCAAAAGAAAGGGGGCAGAACCTAAGAATGGGCAGTTCACCACATTCTTGGGACGTTTGATGCGCGCTGCAGGGTGTTGTGACTGAACAAATAATCTTACGGAATCTTAGAGACAATGGACGGGTGATATTGTCACATGGGTACGGGTCAATACCTATTAATACAATTTTTAGTGGGATGAACATCCATTTACCAGCTATTTTGGGGTTCACTAGGTACTAGGGTTTTGACCCATCCCCACATTGGAACCTTGAAACAAAAGGTCCGTATGTTCAAAAGATAAATGTCCTTATCCATTGTCCATGATTTCACGGTGATACGGTGGTTGGTTGCGAAATCCTGCACCAGTTGGTATATGGTTTATCCCCTTTTAATCCCATTATTTACCATGTTTCATAGTTACCTAACGGTTGCCAACTGGCGCAGGATTTCTGACAAATCCACAGTATCACTGGTAGATACCCAAATGAAAGGCCCCATACTGATGGATTTCATTGGAAAATCTCCATGTAATGATGATTTTCCCACTGAAAGTGACGCCTGCAGATCGGGGATTTCACAGCTGAAATGTTTGATTACCAACCTCTTGGCCCATCCGTGGAATTCCTCGCAGGTGCAGGAATCAGATGTAGAACTACATTGGGATTCGTTAGGCGCTGGGATGCTGGAGAGGAAACCAAAGGGTGTGCGACTCTTTGATGTCACCCCAGTTTGTTTGACGGATGCAAGATATTACAAGACATAGCTGGTTGGTGGTTTGGAACATGAATTTTATGACTTTTCATATATTGGGAATGTCATGTCATCCCAACTGACGAACTCACTCCATGATTTTTCAGAGGGGTTAGCAGCAACCACCAACCAGACCATTATTAATCATTATTAACCATTATTAACCATTATTAACCATGGAAATCCCTATGGAAGTCCCTCAACCAGATAGGTAAGATTATCCAGATTATTATTAACCATCATTAACCATCATTAAGCATCATTAACCATCATTAACCATATATTACACTAACCATATATTAACCACTATTATTATTATTAACCATAGGATCATATAGGTACTGTATGTGAACACATCAAGTCTTTGGGGGCGTGGGATTGCTCGCAATCCAAGGGCTTGGCAGAAAAAAAAATCTGCAGCAAAATGGCCCACTGACTTACCATGACTATTATCCATGATTCATTGGTTAGACTATATATATATACATACAGTATAATTAATTAAATAGTCTGGTTATTTAACTGTACCCTCTGGTTATGACTAACATAGCCATGGAAAATCACCATTTTTAATAGGTAAACCATCTATAAATGGGTCATCTATACCATGGCTATGTTAAATAACCAAAGGGTATATATACAGTATAATTAATTAAATAGTCTCTATTGTACGTGATTGAGTCACTATTCTATAGTAATAAGAATGTAATAAGTATCATAAACGTTCATAAATTTCTATAGTTATTGGAGTGTGCTCAACCAACTTAGCTATCATAGATCAGCTCCAAATTCCATGGTATCCTTAAGCCTTTTCACCATGGTGTTCTCAACGTTCGCCATGGTTCCCCCGGCCAGAACCCGACAAAGCATCTTCGCCTGCCACGGGCAGTACAGAGGCGAGAGTGCTCGAAGGGGGTTAGGTTATAGATATATATATATAATTATATATATATAGCTCAAGATATAGCTACTATATACCTGGTAGATGTATATATATATACACCATTATATAGCTATAGATGTAAAGCTAATTACTGTACCTATAGAGGTGCCTTGATATACCTATAGATATATTTTTAGAACCCAGGATTTTGCCAAGCTCCTCAGTTTATTATTAGCAATGTGAAGGGAATAATGACAATTTGTGATTTGAAAATTGATCACTATGAATCGACTGCGTTACCCCCCCAACCAAAGTCAGGGGTTCATGATTCCGGGGTTGACATTATAGTTCAGAGTTGCGACTTAATAGGATCATTTGTGAGCTGGTCTATATGTATATATCTATGTTTGTGATATGTTTGCTAAGAAAAGGTACTGTCAAATATCTGTCAATCGCTATCGATTTGGGTAAGAAACTCCCAGGAAGTCAAAGCCAAGGACATCATCGTCGTCGTCGTCGTCATCATCATCATCATCATGTATCATGTATCATCCATCATCCATAATCCGTCTATCATCCATCATCCATCATCCATCATCCATCATCCATCATCATCATCATCATCATAATGATCATTCATCATGTATCATCCATCACTCACCATTCATCAGTCATCATTCATCATTCATCATCCATCACCCATCATTCATCATCCATCAACATCATTATCATCGTCATCATCATGGCCAAATGATGCCTTTTGGAATCAGCTGTGATTTTCCTGGTCAACTTGATTTTTTGCCTATTCAAAGTCTGTACAAGTTTCGATCATGTGAGTGATTCTTGGATGGTGCTATGGAAAATAGGAACCAAATCCTTGCTGGATGCTGGAAAATAGAACTGCAAGACTCATCCAACACCTATGCTTCAAAGTCTCCACAGTTCACACACTAGACATGTCAAAGAGACAGGACACGGACCCCAGATTCCCACCATGGAACCCTGCAGGAACCCAAAGACGCAGTTGAGGTGGATTTGGACGACATGGACATTGAAGAGGTGGCTGCATTTCGACCGTTGCTTCATGATTTAGTGACGATTTTTGCGGACCTATAGTATCTTATGGTGTGTTTTGATGTGTTTTGACATGTTTTGCCCATCAATAATACGGGGCTATAATTACATGATGGTCAGTTGATGGTGAGTTTGATTGTTTTGGTATGTGATATTGATTGGATAATCTAATCATAATTACAATCTATGAGCTGGCAATCCCGTTCTCTAAGCACATGGATTTTGCAAATGACGAATTGTGGAACTAGCACTGCTCAAAGTGCTACCATTGACTTTCATGTATTTCATGTCTTCAGCGGGTTGGTAGGAGTATCGATCCATATCTATTGTTCATGTTGTTGGCTACATCACTATCATCGCTCAAATCTCCCTAGCGTTTGCAGTTGAGTCATTATCTGACCAAATCCCCCATCCATGATCATCCCATATATCATCCATATATCTATTTGTATCATATTGTATCTATTTGTCTGTCTATTCGTCTGTTTGTCTATCTATCTATCTATCTATCTATCTATCTATCTATCTATCTACCTACCTACCTACCTATCTATCTTATCTATTTTATCTATCTATCTATCTATCTATCTACCTACCTACCTATCTATCTTATCTATCTTATCTATCTTATCTATCTTATCTATCTTATCTATCTTATCTATCTATCTATCTGATCTGATCTGATCTGATCTAATCTAAATCTAATCTATCTATCTATCTATCTATCTATAAATACATACATATATATATATATACAATTGGAATATCCATATGGAGGTTCCCATCCAGTCATGGGGCCCCAGTCCTCCAGTCGTTATCCATGACCTCACAGGAGCTCTCATGCCCCGGCATCACGTGGCTCTCAGTGCCTTGGTTCCAACACCGTGGTTCTCAGTGACCGACATCAAAAAGACATCGAAAAATAGCGAAAATCATGGAAAATCCTACCTAAGTATCTTGAAAAATCCTACCTAAGTATCCGAAAATAGTGGTAAATGTGGGTAAATCGATGTAAATCGTGTATATGTTTTCATCTTTTTTGGGGGGTACTATGCGTTAACTAGATTCTGTTTCTATTTTTTTTGCAAGGTACTATAGATTGACTAAATTTTGGTTCTATCTTCTTGGAGGTTTCTGATGAACTGTATACGGCTTGGGGTAAATATTGAACCAGTTTATAAGTGGGGACCATCCGGGCCATGAATGTTTGAACCTTAACCCGAGTTAAGCCACCTAAGTGAGGATTTCAGGAGCAACTTGCCTGGGTTGAGGCAACAGAAATGGAGATTTAAGTACTGAATGGAGGGGGTTGCCTGCAAAACTTGTAGCTTGGGGCCACCAGATTTTGATATTCTACAGTTCTTGAAGATCATCCATGATCAAATGGATCATCTACCCACTGGAATCCATGGCTTTGTCACCATTGCCATTTTCGACTGGCTGCAGCTGCCGTTGCCACCCAACCCTTGAGTGAAGGACTTGCATCACCGTGTGATATTCCTGGGCTCGTTTTTTTAATACATGGTTAATATTGTTTAATCATATTTATATACATATTAATACATGTTCAAGAGCAAACCAACAGCTTCAAACGGGCGATGCTGGCTGCCGTGTGCGGTTCAAAAAACGCGCGAAACGGACCCAGGCGTTGCTGTCGGCCCTGTTACCGCTGTTGACCAAAGCCTTGCCGCGAGATCAGAACGAGGCGCCAGGAACTGCCCAGGTTGGAACTTGCCATGGCTCGGTTGGAAATCCCATGTCAGGCCATGAAAAAACTAGGCATCTCTAAATGGGAAAATCGTTGACCTAAATGGAGCATTGTCCGACTTGCCATGTTTGATTACCAAAGGGTAAACCCAATGCCATTAACCTACCATGACTGGGGATGGTTGACGTCCCAGGATATCCCACTCATTCCTGGTGAAATTGAAGGTGTTATATATGCTAGTCTTGAGCTACGTCGGTGGATTGGTTTTCAAAGGGAAGGGAAGTTAATTTGGGCGAAAATCTGAATAGCAAGTTGAAGCAGCATACATTGTATCGGGATGTGCAAAACAAAGCTTCTACTTCTGGAGCGACGCATTGCTCCAGCTACGTGCGCAACGTGAATCTAAAGGGTTTTTTCCAATGTGACAATATGGATTTGTGATCGATGGACTGGCCAGCACGGGGAAAATCTCCAGGAAACCCATAGATTTTTACCATGACTTCAGTATGACAACTTCAACCGTACCCTCTGGTAATTTAACATAGCTATTGAAAATGGCCATTTATAGTTGATTTCCATACTAAAAATGGAGGTTTTCCATAGCTATGTTAGTTTACCAGAGGGTAAATGGTCCTTTCAACCATGTCTGGGAAGCATCAGCAGATAAAAAAAGGGCAAGAAATTGCCAGACATCTGGATGCGGCTAGCAATAGAACAAATATCTGGTTGGTGGTTTGGAACATTTTTTTTTTTCCATATCTTGGGAATGTCATAATCCCAACTGACTTTCATATTTTTCGGAGGGGTAGGTCAACCACCAACCAGACAAAAATGAATCAGTCAAACATGATCAGTCACTAAACGAATCACGTGCGCAATTGAACGGGCAAACGAGTCGGAGGCGTGCTTTGGTGCCTTAAAAAAAACGATCATCGTATCAGCTAGTTATCGCAGTCACCGGCATTTTGGGTGGCCATGATAACCCTATGTATGTTGGGGAATTGTTTTCACATCGGGAGGGCCGTTTTTCTCAAATGGGTTGCCCCGAATATTCGTGGTTGATCATCATGCTCCCAATGAAAGAAATCAGGGTCCATCCCACATGTCACGTATCATTGTCTGGTTGGTGGTTTCTTAAATATGAATTTTATGTTCCATTTCATATACCCTCTGGTAATTTAACATAGCTATTGAAAATGGCCATTTATAGTGGATTTTCCCATTAAAAATGATGATTGTCCATAGTTATGTTAGTTTACCAGAGGGTATGGGATGTCATCCTTCCCATTGACGAACTCATATTAATATGTTTCAAGATGGTGAAATTGCACCACCAACCAGTTGTTCACTGATTAGATGATTAGATCGCTTGTAGATCCTGATGTTTCGGTGATTCTTGGGTCAACCGCGTGGGTTCAGGCGAGAACTCAGGGAGATACAAAATGATAATCCATTGGGGTTTACATTTAGGGTTCCCCCTAAATGATCTGAATATATCTAAATGTTCAGGTGCCAAAGCCATACCCTCCAGAAATTTAACATCATTTAACGTGGCTATGGAAAATTCTCCACTTATAGATGATTTACCTACTGGAAATTGTGATTTTCCATTAGCACAGGGTATTCTGTCAGGTTTGCATCATCCCGCACCCGCACAAGATGGAACGGCAGGAGGCTGCAGAAGGCCGGAACCATGGAAACATTAACATGATGGGCACATTCTAGAAGATTTCGACAAATGGTTGGGAATTTCTTCACTAGCCTTGTGAACACCAAACTACTTGTAGCTTGTAAATATTTGTAAATGGATGTTAATCACCCAATAATGTATGATCTAAGCCATATGCGAAGCATGGTGCTGGAAGATCTACCAACATTTGCCCCCAAAAGCCTCCAGTGTTGTGCCCGAATACCAGCACCGTTGTGACCCGTCCCGAAATACCCGTCCGACCTGTCCCGAAATGGAACATTGATGGATTCAAACATACAGGATGGTGCCCCATAGTTAGCTAAGTTGGTTTATAACTCCCATTTCACTATGGTTTATGGCAGATATAACTATAGTTAATGGGGTTTATAAACCAACTTATAACTGGGGGGCACCATCCTGTAGGAAGTGCTGTGTTTTTTATCAGGCGTCAGGAGCGTTAGCACATGTTAGCACTACAAGAAGGTGGTTGACTCGCCACAATTTCTGGAGCTGCGACAGAAATTTTAACATGGGCATCTTTGGTATCTTTGAAGCAGATCTAGGTCAACGTCAACGTCTTGTTCATCTGGAAACTTATGTGGGTCTTTGTTAATGTGGGATCCCAGATGATCCCAGCAACTAATCATTGTTTTCATGTTGAAAATCATGGATAAACATGGATAAACCACATAACCACGATGAATCATGAAATTTTCACATCACCAAGTTGCAGTTCGGAAAAGTCCCATATTTTTTTTAAATCAAAACACATAAACATCCATTGTTAAAGTTAGGATTCTACGGTGAAACTCACAGCGATGTGCCCTTCCCCCCCGCTCCATCGCTGGAACCATCGCCAGAAACCTTGTACCTGCACCTGGGGACGACGGGTCGACGGCCTGCGAGACTCCCCAGTTTGTGGTTGGGTGGGTGGTGTGTTTTTTTTTTCACCGGAGCTTCTGAAAAAAATTGGAGATTCATTGGAAAATGTGAGATATTTAAGATACGGAAAAAGTGTGTAACTGTTTCTGTTAAGCTTCAAATAAAGCATCTAATGATCTAAATTGGAGATATGGCATTTAAGTGTGTAACTGTTTCTGTTAAGCATCAAATAAAGCATCTAATGATCTGGTGACGGTGGTTTCTTAAATATGAATGTTACATTTTCCATTTCATTTTTTTGGGATGTCATCCTTCCCATTGACGAACTCCATCATTTTTCAGAGGGGTAGGTCAACCAATCAGTGATTCAGTGTCCCAAAGATGATCAGATTTCTGGTCACCAAATATCAGGGGAACGGAGAGTATAGCTTGTGGGTCCAACTTGGATGGTTACTTTAATGTTATATTATATAGTCCTTTAATTTATTGCTAAGTAGATCTAAGTAGTATATGGATAAATGGGAAGATGTATTCACCAACTAAATGTGAATTTATGTGTTGCTTGGTGGCAAAGTTTGGCCATGTTTGAATGGATGAAATATGATGAAAGACATGATGAAATTGTGATAAAATATATGAGTAACGGACAAAATTGTTGTAATACCTAGTTTAGTCTTGATTCGCCTTGGCCTTTCTGAGGTTGCACAAAACCTTCATAACCGATAGGGGGACGACCCTATACCGATGCCCGAAATTTGTGATACCTCCAGGAGTACTGAAATCCTCACAACCGATAGGGGACGAGCCCAATTTGTGCATGGCATCAAATTTAACAACTAATTGTGTCCGCTACTCATATGATTAAATATATGATATATGATGAAATATGATGAAGTTTGACGACATATTATGAAATATATTACGAAATATCTGGTGAAATACGATGAAATAGGATGAAGTGTGATGAAAATTGACGAAAATTGATGAAATATGTGGATGTGTGCGGAAATAGATGGAAACGGGCATATTTCGGGACCTGCCTCGCCACACGAACATCTGACGGAAAGCCGCTTCATTTTTAAGGTATGACTTTTGGTTGTGGTACCCTCTGGTAAACTAACATAACTATGGAAAATCACCATTTTTAATGGGAAAACTCACTATAAATGGCCATTTTCAATAGCTATGTTAGTTTACCAGAGGGTATGTTTTGTTCTCTGGTCTGAGTTGTGGTCTTTCTGTTTTTTTTGTATGGTGGCAGGTCTCAAGGTTTACTCCACAATGTTAGGGACTGAATTGGGATGAGTCCAGAAAATGATGATGGTTTTTTTGTGGACAAGTTATTTTTCTATGATGGGATATTGCCGCAAGCTAAACATTTTATGATAGGGATGTTGATTAAACCAAAGGGTGTACCCTCCTCTAATCAAAGGTGGCTGGAACATCCCCCAGAAAAACCGTTTGATTTTCCAGCGGCCGTGACTGGGATGGTGGCTGCATCCCCCAGCCGCTTCTTGGTGGCGAACTACCCACGGCTCGTAAGATTTAGTAAGTGGGTTATAACCCCCGTGATTTACATGGGATTTTAGGAGCGGGTTAATCCACTGAAAAAATTGGGGTGAACTAAGCCACCTTTCCCGATTCGTGGGTAGTTCGCCACGGCTCGTTGACATCAGGTTTTTAACACCAAGAAGATCTGCGACAACTGTGGCACTCGTGACCCGCCCCGGGCCAGCCGTCGCCGCTCAAAAAATCCGTTGAGTTGGGTGCCATGGATCCATGATGATGACAGGAAGCTGCTTAAGCGTTCTGGTTATTAATATTTATTGGATATATGGGAAAATATGGGATAGTAATGGTTAATACTGGCTAATAATAGTTGATAATGGACCAATCACCAGCAGTAATGGATGAATAATGGATAATTGGAGTACCCTCTGGTTATGTCAACAGTTTGCTATTGAAAATATGGCCCTAATCGAAATAGTTGATTTACCAAACTTAAAGACCTTAAAGATGGTGATTATCCAGTTCGCGAAATGTAAACGTTTACCAGAGGGTACATGTGCATAAGTATTAATCAATACACACAGAGAGCAGACCACTAGGGATGCTTTGCTGATCGCTTCGTCTTTATGTGAAAGTAAAGATCATTCAAGATCTATGTTGTTACGGAAACACGATGAAATACCGGTATATTAAATGAATACATCTGCGAAGAAGAAAAAGACCTGTATAGATCAAATATATTCAAATATTATGAGGTTATGTGTGCATATAAAATCATATAAATACGAAATGAAGTGTACGTTATGTCATATGTACGCTTAATATTATTACATATGATACCATGGTTCTGTCCAGTCACAGGTTTTTTTCTATCCCCGCAGGTATCACTGACCGCTACTATTACCATTGCTCCGAGAACTGCGACATTGACTTTTGCCAGGTGGGAGTCCGAAAAGTCGGTCTCCCGCAGAGATCATGGGTGATGGTGATACGATGGGAAGCCAACATCCAGAAGCTAAAAACGGATGAGGCTTGTGGCAGAAATCCAAAGGATTTTCCATGGCTGTTCCATGGGTTTTCCTTTCAATTGTTTACAAAAAAATGATGGGGTTCCATAGGTGTTCCATGGGTTTTCCTTTCAATTGTTTACAAAAAAATGATGGGGTTCCATAGGTGTTCCATGGGTTTTCCTTTCAATTGTTTACAAAAAAATGATGGGGTTCCATAGGTGTTCCATGGGTTCCTTTCAATTGTTTACAAAAAAATGATGGGGTTCCATAGGTGTTCCATGGGTTTTCCTTTCAATTGTTTACAAAAAAATGATGGGGTTCCATAGGTGTTCCATGGGTTTTCCTTTCAATTGTTTACAAAAAAATGATGGGGTTCCATAGGTGTTCCATGGGTTTTCCTTTCAATTGTTTACAAAAAAATGATGGGGTTCCATAGGTGTTCCATGGGTTTTCCTTTCAATTGTTTACAAAAAAATGATGGGGTTCCATAGGTGTTCCATGGGTTTTCCTTTCAATTGTTTACAAAAAAATGATGGGGTTCCATAGGTGTTCCATGGGTTTTCCTTTCAATTGTTTACAAAAAAATGGGGTTCCATAGGGGTTCCATAGGTGGTTCCATGGGTTTTCCTTTCATTGTTTACAAAAAAATGATGGGGTTTACAAAAAAATGATGGGGGTTTTTCCTTTCAATTGTTTACAAAAAAATGATGGGGTTCCATAGGTGTTCCATGGGTTTTCCTTTCAATTGTTTACAAAAAAATGATGGGGTTCCATAGGTGTTCCATGGGTTTTCCTTTCAATTGTTTACAAAAAAATGATGGGGTTCCATAGGTGTTCCATGGGATTTCCTTTCAATTGTTTACAAAAAAATGATGGGGTTCCATAGGTGTTCCATGGGTTTTCCTTTCAATTGTTTACAAAAAAATGATGGGGTTCCATAGGTGTTCCATGGGTTTTCCTTTCAATTGTTTACAAAAAAATGATGGGGTTCCATAGGTGTTCCATGGGTTTTCCTTTCAATTGTTTACAAAAAAAATGATGGGGTGCGACCCGGCTATACCCAGCTGAAAGTGGCTGCTGGGATAATTATATACAGTAGATCCATGTATATCTGTATATCATTGTATATCCCATTCATACTTGGGTTACAAATATACAAGTAGCACCCCAAAAAAAACATAAGATTATATAAGGTAGAATCTTTCCAAGATAATCAGTGGTAAATTAGCTTTATTTGGCTGTCTATTTTTCATTTTTTTCGGTCACTCTCACATGATGCCTAGGTCAATCTTACATGGATACTTTAATCCGCTATAGTCTTTTGGTATTAATGGGAATATCTACGTTCACCAGCATTCAGAATTTGTCATTTTTTGCAGGGGCCCTCTGGCTGATTGGCAATGATGCTTAAGCATCCGTTTGGCAATTCCCTTTGGTCCTGTTTGGTACCTTGGATTCCCGGAGGACTGCCATACGAGATCCAAAGACCTGCTGGACTCCTTTATGGTGTGGAGCTTGACGTTCGACGGTGATCAAAAACATCATGAAAAAAAAGGTGGTGATGATGATCAGTTATCAGATGTTAGTATCAGCTGCTGATTAAATTATTTCATATATTTATGTACAATATATATATATAATATTATATATATATTATTATATTTACACGTTGATATGATACAATATAATTGTATAGTACTATGTATACAATTGATGCATCGGTGTGGAAGGCAAAAACGCCTGGCCCAAAAAGCCCAAAAAGGCAGAGGTTGGTGAGGACAGCCAAGAGCATCTGTGTGGAGCTCGGTGGTCGGTTCTATGGAGTAAACCCTTTGATAAAATGGGTATTTTCCATGGATTCTATGTTTTCAATGGGAATTCCAGGATCCTAAAATGGAGGTACTGTCCCATTTTTCAGGCCATATTTTGTGGGGATATTCCCTTACATAGGCCTGACATAGGCCTTATATATGGTAGGTACCTCCAATCTAGGATCCTGAAATGGCCATTGATGTTAAGAGATTAAACAAAATAATGGGACTAAGATGTGAAAATAGAAGATGAAGGACAAGTTGGGTTTAAAACATCTTAAAACCATATCATGGGGATATCAGTGGGGAATAATTTTTGGATACCATCCTTTAAGCGGATATGACTGCAGATATAGCCTCTGGTCATTTAACATATGTATCTAGGTCAATCTTACATGGATACAAACTAATCCGCTATAGTCTTTTGGTATTCATGGGAATATCTATCTAACCAGCAAAGAATTTGGTTCATTTTTTGCAGGGGGACTCTGGCTGATTGGCAATGGTATGGGGGACGATGGTATTCCGGGATGATCCGTAGAATCCCAGCTGGTATGGGATGGTAAGTCATCGGGAATCATTGAAGGCACAACGGGGAAACCCAGATGGAAAGCCTCTGGCAGCCATTCGACAAAGCTATGGAAAGCACATCTTTTTATTAGGTAAATCATCATAAATCATCCCATAGTTTTGTTAATTTACCGTAGGGTAAAATTCAAATAAATTCAAACCCACTGCTTCAAGCCCGAAAGTCAGATGCCGCAGGCATGTGACATCTCCGCCAAAATTCTTGGGTACCAAAAACATCACTGGCGAGCTATCAATACAGAAGTTACCCTCTGGTAAATTAACAGTTCGACCCTGGCAGTTGTATAGGGGTTGGTTCAGATTAGTGAAACCATTAAAACATTGCAAAATTGTCAGGCTCCAACTCTTAATTTACCAGAGGGTACCATCTGGTTATGACTAACATAGCCATGGAAAGATCCACCCATTTTTAATAGGTAAACCTCTATAAATGTGCCATTTCCCATGGCTATGTTAGTCATAGCCAGAGGCTATATCCAATGTTTCTGAGTTGATAATGGTTATATAGTTAATGATGGTTAATGATGATGGTTATTAATATAGTTAATGATGGTTAATAATAACTATATAATAACCATCATCATTAATAACCATTAACCATATAATAACTGGTTGGTGGTTATATTAACCTAGTTAATTGATTGGTGGTTAACTGCTTGGTGGTTTCAACCATTAGCTGAGTCGATATCTGGGAAATCCACCTCCAAGCCGTGGTGTCCCGTGGTGATGGAAGATGGGGACCCGGCCTGGTAAACGAACTTACAGTGTACAGGTTGCGAACTGGCAGCCATGGCCATAGTTAGTTGATTTACCCAGCTATAAAATGGGTGGATCTTTCCACTTCGTTTTTTGTTAACGTTTACCAGGCCGGGTATTCTTCGGGAGCCAATCAGCAAATCCAATGAGGTCGAAAAGACTCTTTTGGGTCATCGACATCACCGAGCGCATAGGCTGAGTCGCTGCGACGCATGTGCGACGCATACGTGTGACATGTTGGTGAAATATACTGTATGACGTTATATATGACATATCATGACATATCCATGAATATCCACATAATGATTGCTTTTATATGGAATGTATGGTTATTTAATGTTATATAATGTTATATATATGGTGCTGTACCGCCCGATTAGTACTTGATTCATCTTGGGCAGACCAAGTCCAACATAGCTGGAGCACCTCACCATCATTACTACCATTTGACGCCCATTCGAAAGATAAGTGAAGAGTTCAGATTCTGATTTTTGTTTCATCTAACCAATCTTGATAGACCATGAATATAATATTAATATATATATATATGGAGATGACCTAAAATGGTGGTACCCCCAGTCATCATCCATTTTGGTAGGATTTCCAATGAAATAAACCATCCAGCATCATCCAGCGAGCTTGGGTTACTCCATTGTAGGAAACCACCATCTATAGAGAAGATAATCATCAGCATAGATGTCCTTTTCCCATTGGTTGATGAAAAATGATGAAAATAGAGGGGTTTCTTCAGAAAGCCCTGAAAAACAACAGGTTTCTTCATGATGATAGATGGTATTCACATGTATTTTCACCAGCACCAAAGGCCCAAAGCTTCCTTTTGACCAAAAGGACATGATTTTTCTCATCATGGCGAAAACGACGACATCACGACACGGTCCCGCCACGGTGCCGCAGGTTGGCATGTGCTTCACCTCAATGTGGCAGATCGACGACAGCCACCCGTCCTGGAGGATCTGTTTTGGATCATTCCATGAATGGAAACTGCTTATGATATCGTTTTTTATAATGTATTATACTTGGTGGCTCATCCCACTTAGTAAGTGGGTTAGTTCACCCCAATTATAAGTGGATTAACCCTACAAAAATCCCATGTAAATCACTGGGGTTATAACCCACTTACGATTCGTGGGATGAGCCACCAAGTATATAATGTACTATAAGGTATTATACCATTCTATATCATTTTATATTAGTATATATATATACACCATTCAATATGAGTCTGTATCAGTCTATATCATTATCATTCTATATCAGTCTCTATATATATATATAATTCAATATCATTCTATATCATTCTATAACTTATTACATTATGAACATATAATTTATAACAAATTATAAATATATAGCCATTTATGGGATAACTCAACGTGGGGATACTTGGTGGACAACCAGTCTATTTCAACCACGATCCCTGGGATTTAGTCTTTGAGATCGTCCCTGTCTTGATATTTTTCACAGCCTCCTTCTATGGTCCCATATTTTTTTAGTGTAAATCACCTACATCCACCATGGTTTCAGGGGGGTCTCTGATATATGAAGAAAATTAGGATTATGGATGGGGGATGGCATGGGATTTTTTTAATTTCAGGCTTGACACACCCGCGCAGTTTTCAAACGTAGTCATTCAGTTGCTGATTTGAGATTTTCAGTTGGGGACACATCAAGCGGATGCGAAGAAAGTAGTTCAGCTACGACGCACAATCAAATACTGGACGGCTCAAAATCATTCACAGATCGTACAGTTCGATCATGTTCGATCCAATTTTCTTTATCCACTGTCCTCAGAATCCTCATGGTCTAATTGTACATTCGAAGGATGTTGAAGGTCTTTACCTTCCTAGCACTGTTTGTGTATCACATCATCCAAAGGTTAAAGTTTATCTGATTGGTGGTTTGGAACATTTTTCCATATATTGCGAATTTCATAATCCCAACTGACTTTCATATTTTTCAGAGGGGTTGGTATACCACCAACCAGTTATCATGGCCTGCAGACGATGCTTTGTTGACGGCTTATGAAACTTGTTTTTTTTTCAAAAACGATGGACTAGGAGCCGCCCAGGATAAAAAAATCTAACTAGGGTTATCCCGGTTTATTATCCCACTTACCCCCTGGTAAATTAACTTGTTGACCCTGAAAATCAGTAATGTTTAATGGAAACTAGTCTTCCAACCCCTATACCACTGCCAGGGTCGAACTGTTAATATACCAGAGGCTATTTAGGTGGCTTTGAAGCCCAAAAAAAAGCCTAACTCCGAGTCATGGGACTCGCCTCGCTGTGAGGCTGGCAAATGAGTTGGCCTTTGAATGGCCGACGGCACTCTTCGAAAGACTGGTACAGGCATGAAGACCGTGAAGCACTGCTGACTGCTGACTGGTGGCTGCAAATACTTCACCATTCGAATAGGTGGAATGATGAAGCCTCGTTGACTAAAGCATACTGCACCAAGCTAAAGTGAAAGTATCCAAAAAGTAGAGATTGTTCATTGGATGTCGATGGTTTAGTATGTTGATACATTCAGTTGGATGTTTCAAATTTGCTATCCAAAAGTATCCTACTTGGTGGCTCATCCCACGAATCGTAAGTGGCTTAGTTCACCCCAATTATAAGTGGATTAACCCTACTTATCCCATTATAAGTGGATTAACCCAATTATAAGTGGATTAACCCTACAAAAATCCCATGTCAATCACTGGGGTGAACTAACCCACTTACGAGCCGTGGGTAGTTCGCCACCAGAAAGTTGGATGTATCGGGATGTTCTTGGGATGTCTATGGCGCCGACCGTGGTGAAAGCCCCGAAACGACATGGAAATGATCCATAAATGATCCATAAATGATCCATAAACGGTGGATTTCCCATTTTCTTTGGACATTATCTTCCTATGTGTTTCCCAAGGGTTTTTGTTATGTTTTTTTAAATGATTGTCCTATTTGTCCTCTGATTTTCCATGTCTTGGTTGTACAATTTGGAGGTTTCCTAAAATGGGGGTACCCCAATTTTAGGAAACCTCCATTTATTGGACGTAGATCATGGGCCACATCCCTGGCTCCCGCTCCATGGAACTCCTGCGCCAATGGAGGCGGCCATCGACGTGGTCAACGCTCGTGTGGTTCACGCCCTTCGGGCATCGTTGACATTTGTAGACTGGTTCTACAAAGTGGGCCCCATAGTCATAGGAAAATGATGCTTTCACATGATTTTATCCAAAAATATGGTGAAACATTGGGGATTTCATGGGATTTTGCTTGCTGATTTCTGATTGCTAAGTTGGTTTCTTGAAACTTCCAATGACTCTGGTAGAATGATAACAACATCTCAACCAACTCTCGTATTCATGGGGTTGATCACCGGTTCATCAATTCAGTCCACTGGTGCCTTGGTCAAGTTAGATGGATTATACGATATACGCCTATATAGAAGGATGGTCATCAATCCATCAATAACTAGGGATTTCTAATGATATAAATATATATATATATATGTGATTTATAATGATTTATTTGTGTATACGTTTATATATATATATATATATATATGCCCATAATGTTCGGCTTCCCACAGCAGATGGATCAGAAAAACATCGCCAGGTGCAGGATGTAAAGGACATCCAGTCGGATGAGCGCTTTTGGTACGCGGTGGGTCATCATCTCAGTCGGATGTTTTGCGTTCGCAGATGATCAGCGGCATGAAATCTATATTTGTTTCATACGTATGTATATGGGGGGGGGTCCATAAATCTGGGTAAATTATAACGACCTCACTGCGACCTCACTGGGAATCATGATTAATAAGGGAAATCATCCCCAATTGGCCTTATTTCAGGTTAGTGAAATATTATAATTTACCCAGATAAATGGGGATATCCCAATAGCTGGATGGTTGATTGAAAATGGAAATTCCAAAAGCAAAATGGATGATTTGGGGGTACCACCATTTCAGAAAACTCACAATATGTATATATATATATACATGATTTGGAAAGGTTCAAGGGTTCAGGAACTTGCCTTTCTAAAGACCTCTTGACCTCAAAATAGGCAACGTTGTGCGTTGATGACCAGTTCCCGGTCGTGTTGAGATGTCATGAGATGTCGAGATTCTGTTGGAAAACGACTTCACCCTGCCATGGCCATAGATATCATGTAACACGGAAGAGTTACGGTATCATAATGGAAACCCAGCTAAATGGTGTTTCCCTTGCATATCATATATCATTCTATGATTATATATATATATATGATATTTATTGTATATACTGTATATAATTGTATGTATATATATATACACAGTATATACACGTATATGTGGAGATAGAGAGATAAGTGTTGTGCGTGTGGTTCTGCATCCGTTCCCATCCCATCCCAGTTGTTCCGGTTGTGATTTCAGAGTCAGCCACTGCGCATATCGTCAAAAGTAGCCTCTGGTTAATGATGATGAATGGTTAATAATGGTTAAACAAAATGATGGTTAATGATTGTTATATTGAGATACACTCTGGTTATTTGTTACAGTTCGCCATGGTTTTTCGATGGCCCTAATCGAAATAGATGGTTTACCGAACTTAATAGCATGGTGGATCTTTCCATGGCTATATTAGTCATAACCAGATGGTAAGAAGTTTATTTAAAGAAATGAAAGCCTCCACTTTTCGACAACTGAAGAACCTCAACAACTCAACAGATCCCCCAATCGGTCCATTTCAGCACTGGTCGTGGAACCAGGTGGGTAACCATGTCTTGCGCCAAGGTTGGCTTCAGTTCTTATACAACACCAACGAGTTGCCTTGCAAAACAAGGCGTCGAGGGGCGCTGGGAGTCCCATGAAATCATATGAAATCCACATCCAAAATGGCTAATGGTTGGTGCTTTGGAACATAAATTTTATGATTTATGACTGTCCATTCAGTTGGGAATGTAATCATCCCAACTGACGAACTCACTCCATCATTTTTCAGAGGGGTAGGGCTCAACCACCAACCAGAATTAAATGGATGTTCCATTGCCGTTTTTGATGACTTGATGACCAGACTCTGCGGAGATGGGTTGGACATGGTTGGAGCCTTTTGTGAGTGGAGACGCCTGGAACTAACTCACCACTAGCCACCATGATTACACAGTGAATCACTAAGATTTTTTTGGATTAAAACATACTATAAACTATTACAAACTAGAAATGTGGGGTTAAAACAATGTCATAAACCATTCCCAAATTCACCATTTTTATGGGTGGTGTAAACCATCAACAATGGGATGGTTGATTATTGTTTTAACATGTTTTAACCACATTGTTACATAGTACCCTCTGGTAAACTAACATAGCTATTTAAAATCACTATTGTTTATGGGTAAATCAACTATAAATGGCAATTTTCAATAGCTATGTTAAATTACCAGAGGGTATTCCAGTTATCCATTGTTCATCCATTATTGTTGGTGATTGGTCCATTATCAACTATTATTAGCCAGTATGAACCATTGCTATCCCATTGCTATCCCATATATTACCATGTTAAATCAATGTCCAATAATTGTAAATAGTCATTTTTCAACTATTATCAATTTCCAATTTAACTATAGTTTCTCATTATTTTCCCATATATTACCACGTTAAATCAATGAATTACCACTAACTAATGAAACTTCCCGCGTTGAGCATCGACTTTTTGCAGCAGGCGCCTGGAAGAGCAAAGCAGTCGAGGTCCAAAGGCGCCAACCGTGGGGGATGGGCGCCTATGGCGGACTCACCAAAGGATGGTTCTGGATATTGGGTAATTAATATGGTGATTAATGGTGATTTTTTTGGAAAAATCCATAAAAATCCTATAATTTCATGGGAAAATCCAAAAAATCACCAATAATTGGGTAAGGTGAATGGGAAAATATTGTAATTGACCCAGATATCATGGAAAATATGAGTATTTAAGGCTCCTAGAATGGTGATTAATGGTGATGAATGGGGGTTTTATGGGAAAATATAGTGGTATCATTTGGGAGATTATGGGTGTAGTATGGGATATTATCCATAAATCTGGGTAAAGTATAGATCACGACCGAACCCTGTTCTTTTCTGGAATCATGGTGAATGTGTAGGGAAATCATCCCCATTTATGGCCCAACATTTCAGATTACCCTCTGGTAAACTAACATAGCTATTTAAAATCACCATTTTCAATGGGTAAATCCATTATAAATGGTCATTTTCAATAGCTATGTTAAATTACCAGAGGGTAGTGAAACATGCCGGATTTGACCATTCAAAAATGGATGGAAACCATGATGGAAACCTGTGGAAAAATATACGGAACATTCACGGTGAAATTACTGAAGTGACCATGCAAAATAGGGGTAATTGATATATGTTGCAATAAATGATGATATTTACCAACCAGAATGATGTTTTGAGTATCTAAGATTAGCCACCGGGTCACAGGATTACTGTGGCGGTGGTCTTGTTGAGGATGAGGCTGCAAGTAGATGACATCGGCACCAATACAACGCTTGCAATCACTTCTGGTTGGTGGTTTGAAACATGAATTTTATGACTTTCCATTCAGTTGGGAATGTAATCATCCCAACTGACGAACTCACTCCATCATTTTTCAGAGGGGTTAGCAGCAACCACCAACCAGCAACGCGTGCAATCACTTGCAACTGTTGAGATCCACCCTCAAGTGCTCGCGCCCGGTGGCAGCCGCTTCTAGGTTGACTACGAACGCTTCGTTCTCGAAGGTCCCCTGGGCTCAGAACATGTCTCGGTCAATGTGTGGGGTCTATGTTATGCCAGTTGTCTTGTATCCCCAGGGTCTATATGATCCCCGTTGTTGGACTTGCAGGTGGTTTTTACGTGTTTTTACAAGAAGAGATAGACCCTAGAAAAACCCAGAAAACTCATCAGGGTCTATGTTGGTTGTCCGAAATCGATGATTCAGGGATATTCAGGGTCTATGTTTGTTTTGCAGAGTCTAGGCCCTAGATGCTATGGTGCAATGGATTGGCAATTCCTTAAAAATTGTGGTTAAGTATGGTCAAATCGTCTGTGCCATGGTCAAGGCCCATATTGGGGGATGGTTATCAATCCATGTTCATGGATGTTTGCGTACCTATCATAAAGAATCCCATTACCGGATGGAGGAGCTATCCCATTTTCATCACATGCCTTGGGTCTCAGAGTCTGGACTGTCTACAACTCTTCAAACACGAATATGGGGATTTGCATAACACATGGGTTCAATGGGAATTTCAGGATCCCTTATATATGGTAGGTACCTCCAATTTAGGTTCCTGAAATGGCCATTGATGGGTTATGTATACAGATTTATTTCAAAAAAATAACTGATCCTATCTGGATGGGATGCAAATAGTTCCAGATCCAAGGATCCAAGCCGACTCAGTGACTCAAGAAGGGTACTGGAAGACCTGGTGCTCGAACTAATCAAGGAGGTGAGCAATTTGAGGCACTTGAAGCGTAGTCCCGTAGAGGTCCATGGTAGTCATTACCCTCTGGTAATGACTAACATAGCGAACTGGAACATGACCATAGAAATCGTTGATTTTCCCAGCTACAAAATGGCAATTTTCAATAGCTATGTATCTGGCTGATTCGTCAATATAGGACCCATCTTTTTTACAAATTCTGATCAGAAAGGTGTTGAGATTGTCGTGCTTTGCAAAGGGTACCCTCTGGTAAACGTTAACAAAAAACTATGGAAAGATCCACCATTTTTAATGGGAAAACTCACTATAAATAGCAATTTTCAATAACTATGTTAAATTACCAGAGGGTACTCGTTGTATAGCAACACCTCAGACAGACAGCATGTGGGAAAATCCTACTGACCTCTTAGAGGAAAAATTGTCCTTTTATGCATCTTTTTGGCAGGTACAATAAACCGGCCCTGCACAGAGGTATATCATATCCAATTCTAGATGACAAACCACTGGATGGAACAGTGTTTTCCCACAATTTTCCGGGTACCAAACATGTGAGTCATCACTACTTTGTCCCTATGTCTACCATCGAAATTGTCTCTATTTTCAGGTATCATGACTGTAATAAATAATGGTATCATGTTGGATGATGGGACCTTTTCTTTCCCATAGCTGGCCCATCTTTTCAGCTACTCCCAGAGTTTCCCATCATAAAACCGAGCGCTTTGGGCTAACAGCAGCGGCAAGGGCAACGGTTGTGCTTTGCATTTGCTGTGGTTTTCCCACGGTTTTTTTTCCTCCACCATTTTCAGGAAAACAATGGGAAAACCACGGTTTTTCCCATTATATTAGTGCTAACTATGGGAATTTACGGAATTCTCCCATAGTTTTACTGCACTATTGTTGTGTTCCTACGATTTGGGACAAATCATTTCCCATCAGAACATGTTTATCCAATGAGCGTCTCGCGCAGGCATCAACAAGTGCGAACCCCTGTCGGAGTTCCAGCGTTGGCGAACACATCCCAGTGCCAAGGCGCATCCTGCGGAGTTGCAGGGATGAACGGAATCCAATTTCGGTAGCCAATGGTTTGATCTATTATGCAGGTGTGTTCCATATAGATCGATATATCATATGCTATATATACGTGTATATATATATATATATACACCACATACACTATATTTACTCATATACATATATATGTATATATGTATATCTAGCTATCTACCTCTCTACATATCTACCTCTCTACCTATCTATCTACCTACCCACCTACTGGTACCTATCTATCTATCCATATATTTTGTAAGTATACTATATATTAATACTATATAAATCTATATAATATGTTCATATCTATATGTATATGCATATGTTTTCTATCTATCTATTTATTGATCTTTGGGCTATGTATTTTTTATGTGGAACTCAGTCCGGAGTTCTCGGAGTTTCCGAACCATGAAAACATATGAAATAATCATATATATATATCTATTCATAATATAATATTATATATATATCCATCATTGATGGTAAAAACCATAGGGTCCCTTTCAGATTTTCCCTTAAGCCAATCCAGTGAATAGATGAACATCACCGCAGGTGCCGAACGTGGTCGAGATTCGCCGCTTTCGGGTCACAGACCACTTTTGTCCGCAGCCTCGGAGGGCGGCGTGGAATGAGGGGATTTGCTTCCATCAAACATGGTGAAAAATAGGAATTTTCACCAGCAAAATGGCGAAGAATCATGGAAAAACATGGAAAAAACCATCCAAAATGGTGGAAAAAGTGGTGAGAAACACCATGACAACGGTAAAAAACAAGGATTTAAACCATCAAAGATGGTGAAAACAACCTGAGCAGTGTCAACAGAGCCATTTTGCTTCTTGCTAACATGGGGGTTCTACTAACCTATTGAAAAGGGATCAGTACAAGCGATAATTGGATTGGCTATAAACAAACCAGTAGAACCAGTTGGCAACCAAGTGTTTGACGCTGCTCAGCTGGATTTGCCCACAAAAAATGAAGGTTTCAGCCTTCATAGAGAATTTGAACATCCAACATCTGACATAGGAATCTGGTTGGTGGTTTGGAACTTCCCAGCTGACTTTCATATTTTTCAGAGGGGTTGAAACCACCAACCAGGAATTTAACCTATGAAAATCAGAGACGGGTTTACATTAAAATGGTGGAGTAGCCGCCAAAATCTATGGCAAAAACTGGCTGGGATTTCCATTATTTTTTGGTTGATGCCTTGATGAACCCGTCATAAAAAACAAGTGATATGAGCTCATGAAATGAAAGTGTGCACGATCATGATCAATCTTGTGTGTATTGCGTACACATCATTATTTTCGATATACATCAGTAGTAATATTAATGTGTATATATATATACTGTATATACACGCGCACATGAGTAGCATTTTTCCTGGATGCAAAAAAATAGATAAAGTGGGAACTCCACAAAACATATTAAGCCCCAGGCATACGCTCCCATGCAGACGGCTAGGTTGCGTAGGCATTGGCGTAGGCTCGTTTTGTGCTTGCTGGTCAGCGGTCACTGTTTATTTTGCCAACAACTTCAAAGGGGAAAGTTTGCCTGGAATGTTCTGCCATTGATCATGCAGCGTTAAACAAAAAAGGTGCCAGATATAATGATTGTCCGAAGAAAATGGAGAGCGATTTTGAAACGACTACCCTCCAGTAGTCAAACATGGCAATGGAACATATGTTTGTTCATGGTGGTTGAATGAGAAAAGCATTTAATTTTATGGAGGATTTTGTATGTTTTTTTCATTGCCATGTTTGATTAGCAGTATTTCTGAGTGTATATTTACATACCTTGTTGGTGGTTTGGAACATGTTTTTTCCATAATATATGCGATAATTCTTCCCATTGGCTAATATGTTTCAAGATAGTTAAAACCACCAACCAGTTATAATTATATATATATTATGTGTGTGTGAGTCATTTTTGGGATCCACAGATCTGGGTCAGAAGGCCTTGCCAGAAGGTCTGGCTGATTGGTGAAGCCGATTATTTTTTTTCAGAAATCCCCATGCAGAAGTAAACTCTGTTTATTCTTGGAAAATTCATATATTGTGATTTCATATATTTTATATACTCTGTTCATTCTTGGAAAATAACATTCATATATAACAATTCATACATGTATTTTTATTTATATATTGTGATACTATTGTTGTATGATTGTTATGAATATACTATTGTTGTATACGCGTGTACTAAATTAGTATTATATTGTTACATTATCACTATATTATTATATACTGGTTACAGTAATTATGATTAAATATTAGGTTGCTGTATTATCATCATGATCAGTATAGTCATTTCTGCTTGGACGGTTTCTCCCATGTTCTCCCAATTCTACAACCCATTCTCCATTGTTTACCCTCCAATAAACTAACATAGACCCTGGCAGATAGGGGTTTGCAAGATTAGTTTTCACTAGAAATTGATTGTTTTCAGGTCAACAAGTTAACTTACCAGAGGGTAAATCCCCCAGTTTTCAGCAATTGTGATTGGTACAAGCTGGTGCCCCAGTTCGTTAGCTAATTTAAGTGATCATAACTCCGTTTTCTCTATGGTTTATGGTAGATAGATCGAACTACTATTCCTATGGTTTATAAACCAACGTTCACATCACTGGGGGGGGTCACAACATAAACCATAAACATGTCCATTAACCACAACCCAACGTAAACCACGGTCTTCTGATGTTCGACCTCACTAAGGCTCCTTTCTCACGCACAGCAACCTGGTGCCCATGAACTTCCGACGGGTTCGGAGCCCCCAGTGGTGTGGTGTGGTGTGGGGTGTGGCTTAAAATCACGGTTGTTGGTAGTAATGATTAGCACATGTCAATACATATCATCATTATTTTTAGGTACTGGTAATTCTATTGTTTAAGATATTGTTTTAAATATGATATTTAAATATGATATATCTATTTGGGATGAATTATGGTGGAAAAATTGTGGTCTATGTATGACATTCTATTACTATGCTGGTAGCAATTTCCAATCTTCAGGTCTTTGGACTTACACGGAACTTGTCCGTTTCGGCCCGTTTTCGGCATGTTAAGCACATGTAGATGCAACCATTACAAGGTGGTGCCCCGCCAGTGAAATGTTTGTTGGTTTATAACCAGCATGAACTAGTTTGATGCTGATGGTACTGATATTATCTACTCGTACCATAAAACCTTTTCTCAACCAACTTAATTAACTGGGGATGGGTCAATACCTATTATTACCATATTTTTGGGGAATAACCATCTATTCACCAGCTATTTTAGAATACCTAGGGTACCAGGGTTTTGACCCATAACCAACTGACTATAGGGCACGACATTGTAGGTGCTTTTTTCTGAATGATCCGAAAAACAACAAGTTGCTCACTTGGCTGACCCAGCTTGGTGCGTTTGGCAACCACAAACATCGAAGCAGTTACACCAGGGCTGCATGGGTCTGTGGGGGACTTTCGAACAAAGTCATAGTAGCCACAAAAATGATAAAAGTTTAAAGATCCAACTAAAGCACGTGAGAATTAAATAGGTTTTCTATCTTTTTGGGGGTTCCTGTGCTTAGTGTTTTCCATTATTTTACATAGGATGATAATCTATGATAATCTAAGTACCGATCAAGGGAACGTCACCGCCATCTAGTTCTTTGTTTACCTTGGCGTTGTGTTTCTGTGGGCCTTTGGGCGCTCGCATCCATTTGGTGAGTTCGATGATTTACCCTCTGGTTATGTCAAAATAGCTATTGAAAATGGTGATTTAGTTCGTGGATTTACCCATTAATAGCATGGTGGATCTTTCCATCGTTTTTTGTTAACGTTTACCAGGCCGGGTACCTATGAATCCAAGATTCCATGGGGGGTTCACTGGCCGATTTTCCATGGCCAGTGGCCGCAGACACCACCTGGCATTCGCCAGCGCCGAGGTCTGCCTCCTGTGTGACGTCTGGGAACAAATGCAGGCCATCGATCTGCGGCCCAGTCGATAGCTATATAAGTTGCCTGAAAAAAGTGGCTGAATTCTATGGTTTATGGTATAACCAACTAGTTACTAGTTCATGGGGGTTATAATATGTTATAATGGAGATACCCTCTGGTTATTTAACAGTTCGCCATGGAAGCCATGGCCCTAATCGAAATAGATGCTTTACCGAACTTAATAGCATGGTGGATCTTTCCATGGCGAACCGTTAGTCATAACCAGATGGTATAACGAACTAGTTCATGTGGGTTATTTCATGGTTGTTTTCAACCAACGTTCACATCACTGGGCCCTCCATGGAGCGCTGGTATCGCCATAACTGATGGACTATTCTCCGTAGCCAAGTCAGTCATATTGGTGAAGTATGGGACCCATGAAAATTCCAGAACAATGAATCTCAATGATTTCCCCCTTATAAATCCAAGAATAACTTATAACTGATATCATCTTAGATCCCATAAAAATATCCCATTTATTCTTTGTGAATTTCGATAAAAACCGATTTTGACCATGGTGAAATCCGCCACTTTCCAATAGCTTCGGCCATGTTTGACGTTTACATCTACTATTGATCACCACGGAGCATTGTTCCCATCACGAATGATGGTTAAATATTGGTTAAATCCCAATGTTTCAGCATGGTTTTGTAGCTGCTAAAATCTGCTAAAATCCCAGGTAACTTCTTCACTGAAAAAACCTCATGGTTCATATGGCAGTGTGTCAAAACCTTGTACCCCTGGTGAACATCAAAATAGCTGGTAAATGGATGTTCATTCCCCTAAAAATGGTATTAATAGGTATTGATCCATACCCATATGTTTCATGGTTTTTGTTCATGGTTTTTGTTCATGGTTTTTATCCATTCTTGGCCTAAACTCCACGGCTATCGCATTTCATCGTTCCACAGGCCTCGGGCCACATTTTGCCTTTGCACCTGGAGGTGCAGTGGGAAATGTTCATGGCCAGTAACGTGGCTGGGAAAATCATCTATAAATGGAAGTTTAAAGCTGGGAAAAGCATCTATAAATGGAGGTTTAGAGCTGGGAAAATCATCTATAAATGGAGGTTTAGAGCTGGGAAAATCATCTATAAATGGAGGTTTAGAGCTGGGAAAATCATCTATAAATGGAGGTTTAGAGCTGGGAATAGCATCTGTAAATGGAGGTTTAGAGCTGGGAAAATCACCTATAAATGGAGGTTTAGAGCTGGGAAAATCATCTATAAATGGAGGTTTAGAGCTGGGAAAAGCATCTGTAAATGGAGGTTTAGAGCTGGGAAAATCATCTATAAATGGAGGTTTAGAGCTGGGAAAAGCATCAATAAATGGAGGTTTAGAGCTGGGAAAATCATCTATAAATGGAGGTTTAGAGCTGGGAAAATCATCTATAAATGGAGGTTTAGAGCTGGGAAAATCACCTATAAATGGAGGTTTAGAGCTGGGAATATCATCTATAAATGGAGGTTTAGAGCTGGGAAAATCATCAATAAATGGAGGTTTAGAGCTGGGAAAAGCAACTATACATGGAGGTTTAGAGCTGGGAAAATCATGCATAAATGGAGGTTTAGAGCTGGGAAAATCATCAATAAATGGAGGTTTAGAGCTGGGAAAAGCATCTATAAATGATTATAAATGGTGGATGTTCCATGGGATTTGTTTGAGTACCAGAGGCTAGAGATATGTAGAGATGGTGATTGGATGCTCATGACATGTAGGGAAAATTACGATAAATCAATGAGATGGAATGGGGTACCCTATTTTCAGAGAAACCCGGATGTTTGTAGCTGTACAATGTGTCTACCCTCTCGTAATCAAACGTGGCTTGCTGGCGATTCCCCCAAACTTACTGTAGTTCCATGATTTTCCAGCCATAAACCTCAATGTATGGAGGATTTCCCATTGCCACGTTTGACTACCGGAGGATATATGTATTTACAACCTGTAGGTACGGTGCCAGTATTTGTACAAAAAGCAGACGAAGATGGCAACAATTCCATAGAATTCCCCTAATGCTGAGGCTCTCAAGTCCATCGTCTTAATTTCAGACCTTACAAAAAAGCATCAAAAAAATATCAAAAAAAAACCTTTCTGTGGCAGATTTTTTTTAAAGGACCAACGTTGATTGGCGTTTCCCACGGTTTCCTGAAGCGACCTGCGACGATGACCTCCAGGTTCCACGTGAGTTGGGCCCTCGGGTGGTTTGGTACCAAAAATGACCACAAGGCTGCGTAACTCCATGCACTCAAATTAAAATCTCCGTATTAGTTTTTTATATAATATATTATTATACATATATATATATACATATTATTACTATTGTATTGTATTATATTATATTATTAGATAGATAGATAGATAGATAGACAGACAGACAGATAGATAGATAGATAGATAGATACATAGATGATCTTCCATTGTCACCATGTATAGAACATGTCCGACCACCGATCTCTGAGGCCCAAGCGGCTGATACAGGCCGTTGTGGCCGGGTGCCTCAGACGTTGACCGACAGACGATGAGATTTTTTGCGACAAAAAGGCGACTGGAAATGGGGGAATAAACCCATGTAATGCAGTATACTATTGTGCAAAAAATATATATATATGTAAAGTATCAGCAATAGATATTGACATCGGAACTAGAAAAAATGAAAACGAAGAAGCAACGAAATGGAGGACTGATTAGATCGCCGATAGATCTTAAGAATCTAAAGAGGTACACATTTTGCGGCGCAGTAACATCTTGATCTGTAATTCTTCTACACGAAAAAAAGGAGACAGGAAATGCAGGGGTTGGTAACTGTCCCATTTTGGGAATATTGGACATCACCTTATAGTAGCCATTATAGACCATATACCTAATGGCTGGGTGATGTTCAATGGGGACATTTAATGACCCATGAAATGATACAGAGAATCTGCACTTCATCCTCACAGTTTTTCGTTCTCCAACTGAAATGAAGCCAAGTCTTGGCCCTTGATATGGGTATCGGTCAAAACCCGGGTGCTTTTGTCTTCACATCAAAGTAGCTTGTAGAACTAGATCTTTATCCCAGATTCATATGGGAACATGGTGAGTTTTGAATGCAAAAATATGACCCATCTTGATTGCTTCCCACGTTGTAGTTCATTGTCCAATTTCATACCCATTCAAATACTATCTTTAAATCATCACACCATTTACTGTAGCTATCCAGTGGTTCGGCGGAAGCGGTTCGGAGCTCCAGGTATTTATATTCCCAACAAAAGCCATCAAACGGAGCCGAAAGCAGATGATAGGTAGTACATATTTCAGTAATTCATACGGTCACTCTGTTTCAGTCACTAGCAGTCCCAGTACAAATGTAGGAATACCAGGAATACACACCATAAAACCATCCAGCCATAGCCATAAAATCATAGCCGTAAATTTCTCAACCAGATTGACATACCATTTACATACCATTTACATACCATTTACATACCATTTACATACAATTTACATACCATTTACATACCATTTACATACCATTTACCCTGTGGTAAATTAACATAGACCCTGAAAATAAGCAATTTTTTGTGGAAACCAGTCTTCCAACCCCTATCTGCCAGGGTCTATGTTAATTTACCGGAGGGTACATACCATGTTTATACCCTTGCTGGTGGTTTCAAATTTCAAACATTTTTTATTTTCCATTGTATATGGGATAATCCTTCCCATTCACTTTCATATTTTTCAAGATGGTTAAAACCACCAACCAGTACCATTTATCTACCATTTCCTGAGATTCCATTAAACCAGTGTACGTTTCTCGGTGAGGATCGCTTCTCTCCCATCATGAGCCCCGCAGAGTTGCGTCAGCCGTTCGGAAAGCCCAGCGCAAACGCGTTGCCCCTGTGGGTTGTCAAAATATTCGTAATGCACTAACTACTATAATAGGTAGTATAATATATATATATATATAACAATAGGTAGTGTAATAATAGTATATGTATATAACAATGTATAATTACTACTATAATAGAAAAAGATATGGTAGTATAATACAACAATAGGAATATATATATATATACATATACATACATTGCTATATAACTATACCATTGCTATAGTTATCATTATTATGTTTATTATGTCATTATAAGAACATCTGCTGTAATACCCCTTTAGGCACCCCAAAAATTTCTCCGACGCTCCTCGTCTCAGCTTCCAAGGCTGCGCATTTGCTTCCAAGGGGAGGAGGTGCTGTGCTGTGCTGCTAGCCGATGCGGTGAGCAGCAAACCATGGGGCCATGGGGATACTCCGCATGATAGCAAGAAACACAGGGAATCCCAGGGAATCCCCCAAGGCCCATTGGAAATCCCAACCCTGTCTGTATCCCTGTTTGTATCCAGATTGGACTAGGGAATACCAATGGAATTGTATCCCGTTGGAAATTTCCCATTGGAATACCAACTCCCATGGGCTAAACCAACGGCCAGGCCGGAGGCCCCGGCGTCACCCGCGAGTTCTTCCAGGTGAGGATTCTGGGTAGATGCCGAGGTTGGAGACGGTCTTTCCATGGATTTTTGGTGGAGAAAAAATGACCAAAATGGTGAAAAGGGTGAAGTTAACCATCAAACATGAGGGTCATCCAGCATTTTAGGGGTTTTAGCCTCCAGATTTGATTCAATTTGTGGATTTGACCATGAAAAATGGTGACACATTGGTGATTGAGCCATGAAAAGACCTGGTGTGACCATAAAGAATGAGAAATTATTCACAAGCAAGTGGGAAAATTCAGCACAATGCTGAGGATACACTGGGGACATAGGCAACAATTGGGGAGCAAACCATCAAACATGTGGTGTTTGTTGGCTTTCCTACATTAGCAACCATAGAACATGATAGAACATTATAGAACACGTTCAATCCACCACTATGGAGGTTTCTATATTCATAATAATCATCCTATTCCCCTAAGGCGCTAAAGGAAATATAAGAAGAATTCATTGGAGTCTTGGAATTTTATAAAGATATATATATATATACAGAAAACCAGAGAATTTAATCATCTAAGATATTGATTTAGCCAATGAATAATGGATACTTTTTTTTCCTGAAAGGGTTGATATTCCAACATGAAAACTTTGTGTCTCCCCGGATTTTCAGACTCGAATGTCAAGATAGGGGATTACCCACATAGATATGGACATGGATTGTATATCCCCTCCTGGTAATTCAACAGAACTATGGAAAATCACGATGTTAATCGGTAAATCATCTATAACTAAATGGAAAGTGTTCAATAGCGATGTCAAATTAACCGATGGTAAATAAGGTTATATTGATTTGTAGTGGTACATTTCTATATATCTCTGGTATTTGCATCGCAGTTCCGATGGGTCACAGAATTCGGTCAGAGCCAGGTGGCGCTGCGGAGCTTCTTAGATGGAGAATTTGGAGATGAGACGCTCGAAATTTTGGCAGATGGGGAGAGAAAAAATGTTCCGTGGAGGTACCCTCTGGTAATGACTAACAGTTTGCTATTGAAAATGGCCCATCTTATAGTTGATTGACCTATGGAAGATGGTGATTGTCCATAGCTATATTACCAGAGGGTACCCCAATTTATGGATGGTTTACAATGATAATTCCATCTATAAATGGTGACTGGGAGTACCCCCATGACTTCGGAAACCTCCAGATATGTAGTGGGACCTAATCGTTTTCTTCAGGGATATAATACTGAGGAAATGACATATAACCAGTTATCAGGAAGAATTTGAGATGGGGATTTATCAACAGACAATTTATGGAAAATACGAATGATGTATACCCTCCGGCAATCAAACGTAGCAGTGGATTCCATTTATAGATTATTCTCCCATCAAAACCACAACTAATAGTTTGGTGATTTTTCATATCTAGCCGAATCTAGCCATGTTTGATTACCGGAGAGTACGTACATGAAAAAGTGGGATTTGTGGTCCCGGACTGCCGTGGTGTTTTGTGGCAGAAATAGCTGGCTGGACTGCCGTGGCCTGACACCCCAGGAAGTTGTTCGTGTACCATGAGCAGTCTCTTGGCCCTGAAACGTTCGGGGGAGAGGATAGGTCGGAGCCCACTGAAAAATCCGAGGCTTCGAGGTTCGATACAATCTGGTTGGTGACTGGAACATTTAAACCGTCAACGTGGTTAATGGGACTTAATTAATGGCTTTTGCTGGGACTTAATATATCTAAATATGGACATAATGGATCTATATACTGGTTGGTGGTTTGGAACATGACTTTTATGACTTTCCATTCAGTTGGGAATGTCATCATCCCAACTGACGAACTCACTCCACCATTTTTCAGAGTAGGTCAACCACCAACCAGCTCTTATTGAGAAAATGTGGTAGCCCCGAAAAACCAAGAAGTGATTTCTTGGTTAGTGCTTTGGAACATGTTTTATTTTTCCATATATTGGGAATAATCATCCCAACTGACGAACTCACTCCACCATTTTTCAGAGTAGGTCGACCACCAACCAGGTCTTATTGAGAAAATGTGGTAGCCCCCAAAAAAGCAAGAAGTGATTTCTTGGTTGGTGCTTTGGAACATTTTTTATTTGTCCATATATTGGGAATAATCATCCCAACTGACGAACTCATATTTTTCAGAGGGGTAGGTCAACCACCAACCAGATTATTAACCATCATTAACCATCATTAACCATATATTACACTAACCATACATTAACCATATATTAACAGTATATTAACAGTATATTAACCACAATGGTAGCCTTTCTCCCAGGTCGAGACTGTGCGGAACTCAGAGAAGGGCCGGTTGTTCGAAGGAAGCGGATCTCCCCAGGGTTCTCAGGTCAGCAGCGACCAGGATCGACCAGGCGAAACGCGACAGGAACAACTCGCTTTGAACGTGCTTTGAAGATTTTGAAGAGTCATGGTCCCAAAATCCATGAAATTTCTAAACAGCAAAATCCATGAAAAAAAACTATTTTCCTATGGTAAACGGCCAAGTAAACGGCCAAGACACTGAGCCAGGAAATCCCCCTTTCTTCTGCGCCGCGCAGACTAAGTGGAGTTTTAGGATCCAACATGGCACGGTAAAATCTATCAATTTGCGGCTTCGGATTTGCGTTTTTACCATTTTTTTTTGCTCGATTTATCAATGATTCAAATGGCCATGTCAGGAAGCTAAATTGGAGGTACAAATTGTGGTCAGTGGTTTTTAATACCAAATCTGGTACCTTCACTTAGTCAAAAAGTCCTGAAAGTCCGATAATTTCGGTGTTGAGTCAGTTGAGTCAGGAGTTGAGTGAGTTGAGTGAGTTGGATAAGCACGGGCTTCCCCGTTCTTGGATTATGACATATCCCCTATATATATATATATATGAAGGGTACTACAATCCCCATTAACCACTGTTAACCAACCATTCATCAACGGTTGAGGTACTGGTTCAACGAAAAGGCCAAGAATTCGGAGCAGTGCTTCCGTTCCTATGGGATCCTCTTGGGTCAGGCCAGGACTCTGAGGTGATCATGGCTACCTGAAGATCAGCTAAAAAAATCCAATGGCTTGTTGTGGTTGATCATCATTTTCGCTATTAAGATATACGGATATACGTATTAAGATAGATATATTTATTTATGTATGTATTTATTTATTTATTTAGTGTAATTGTTTATTTATGTGTTTATTTATTGATTCATTTTAATTATTTATGTATTTAAAATGTCATAAAGTTGAAAATAGTGTATTTGCACCCCATTTTCATATGCACCCCAACTATGCAAGTGATGGCTTTTTGGTGGCTCCAGACGCCACTTCAAGCTCATCAGTACACATTTATTTCATATGCCCAGGAGAAGGAATCCCAGAGAAGGGTGAGATGACAATCCGCAATCACAATTTTTAACCACGGCCAAGTCAATTCTAGGGCCAGATGTCATGCCAGATGTCATGTAGCTGGGGCTCGTTTTGGTACCTGGTATGGTATATACCTGGTACCTGGCTGATAAGTGGCTAGCTTCAATGATTTTCTGGGGGGTGCTGTTGACCTGCAACACAGCTGAAAGCCTGAGACCTGAGAATTCATAACGTCATAACGGCACTGGGATAGGTTGGCGAAGTGGTTGGGTAAGTCAAGAGTTGACAACAAATTGATGACCATCTGGTTATGACTAACATAGCCATGGAAAGATCCACCATTTTTAATAGGAAAACCATCTGTAAAAGACCCCCCTTTGTCCATAGCTATGTTAGTTTACCAGAAGGTAATATTTATTAGCCATGATAATTTTGGGCATTAATTCGCCATAAATGGATGATGTTTTACACTATCTGTATCTTTACCCGGCTAGCTACGTGACATGGGTCCCACCTCATGGAACTGTCGCCATAGATGGTGTCCATCCAGCCATTCAAGCCATTTCATAGGGAAAATAAGGACAAAAAGTTCTAAAACCATCCCAAAATCATCAAATTGGCGCCCTATTTTCACAAAAAAAACCATGGAATTCTACACATTGCTGGCGAAATATCGTGGCATCCGGCGATGCCGAAAACGCCCTGAGGCTGTGCTGAACAACACGCACGTGCCGAACATTTTCCCAAGGGTTCGATGTCCTGGGGCTCCTGGGGGATCCTGGTGATTGGTGGTGACTGGAAGATGACTGGACTTAATTAACGGGTCTGGTTGGGACTTCATATATCTTCATATGGACTTAATAGATCTATACACTGGTTGGTGGTTTGGAACATGACTTTTATGACTTTCCATTCAGTTGGGAATGTCATCATCCCAACTGACGAACTCCATCATTTTTCAGAGGGGTAGGTATACCACCAACCAGATGTGGATGATTGTGGAGGATAGGGACCCGATAAATGATCGATTATTTTTCGCGATAAATATTGGATGAAATATCGATGAATGACGGTAGATTGGGTGTGATATGAACCTAGCTGGAAGCTTTTGGGAGTTATGAAGTGACCAACCAGTATGTTTAGGGGTGATGCAGAGCGGTTGTTGTAAGGAGCTCTGAGAAACAGTGCTAGAGGATTCAGTCAGGATTCAAACTCTCCTGGTTTTGCTACAAATCGTCGCTGATTGAGATATTCAGATGTTTACCTTCCATAACTTTTTTGTTTTTTTGTTTGCTGTTTATCTCACATCATCTTACATCACTTTTTTGGTGATAACATCACTGGTTGGTGGTTTCAAACATTTTTTATTTTCCATAATATATGGGATAATCCTTCCCATTGACTTTCATATTTTTCAAGATGGTTAAAACCACCAACCAGTTCCATTTATATACCATTTATATACCATTACATCACTTTTTGGGGGAAAATTCAATAAGACCACTCAGGGCCTGTGACCACGTTGCCGCACGGCCGCACGCAAACTAAGCAAATCGCGTGCGGATGATCCGAAGAGACTGGCTCTGTTTTTTTGGGGCAGGTAGAAAAGCCAACAGCCGGCCGTGTTATATAATTATATAATTATATATAATTATATACATAATTATATATATAGCATATATCTATGTATATATGGACATATGGATATATGGATATATGAATATATGGATATATGGATATATGGATATATGGATATATGGATATACCATGTATGTATAATATGTGTCTGTATATATGTATATAATTATATAATTGATTAATCATGCATACACATTTATATTTATATACAGACGATAATATACCGGATACCATATACAATATAGATGTTACACAATACACGATACACAACGCAAAACAGCAAGCCTCGTCCTCAGGCACTCTACGATCGACTTCTGGAGGTGTGTGCGAGTTCAGGGTCTTAGCTTAGTGGAGTCGTGGATGTTACCCTCTGGTTATGACTAACATAGCTATTGAAAATGACCATTTATAGTGGATTTTCCATGAAAAATGGTGATTTTCCATATAGTTATGTTAGTTTACCAGAGGGTAGTTGTAATGGGAGATAGCCTCAACGAACATAGCTATGGGAATCACGAAAACAACAATCCAACCATCAAAATCCATCAAAATCATTCAAAATCCATAAACATGAGTTACATCTACAATATCTCTATAGCATAGCCTATAGCTACGGGAATATATCCACTTTTGATACCCTATAGCCGGTGTCCAAAAAAACATGGCTAGCTGGGAAATCACCGAACGAGCCAAGGAGGAATATAGCTGTGGTGTCCTCTGATCATTTAATCGTTTGCGACATAGAAAATGAACCGTTTGCGAACTCGAAAATGTACCATTTATGTTGTTGATTTACCTATTCTTTCAATGGTGATTTTCGATAGCTTTTTGTTAACGTTTACCAGAGGGTACCTGAGAATGATGTAACCCAAAATCTGGTGATTTATCGTCAACTGCCTCGTAAAGTTGGCAATGGATCCTCCCTTTTCTGACCCATATAAGCAGGGATATGAATTGGCGAGATACGAAAAGAAGATGTTTGCCCAACAATACAATCAATATGTTTCCATGGGAAAAGGCATCGTTGTGTAAGCTACCATTACCCGCTACATCTGCCACCCTACACTGGGTAAGCCTCTCTGAATGTTGGATCGACGATCATCAGTGCAGCTTCAAATACAACATGATAGGTCACCAACTAATTAAATTGGTCGAAAGATACCGGTGGGGATTTGAATGGGCAATGGTGCAAAGATCTGAAAATGTTCCGATTGGATACTATTGATTGCGGGTTTTGGTTCAAACTTGGGAAAGATTCAAACCATTTTTCACTGTGAACGCGGACAGCACCAAATTGGTCAGGAACCGAGAGCAGAGTATAATAGTATATACCTTCTGGAAATTGAGTTTCCCTATTTTCTTGATATATACTGTCTATTGAAAATAGGGACTATGCCTCGTGTGCCAGGCATTGGTATCGCCGTGTGCAAGGACCTTGAGACTCGAGGACGGCTTAAATCCCTTTAAGAAGTGCTGCAAAATCCATTATAAATGGAGGTTTTACTGGGAAAATCATCTATAAATGGTCCATTGTCCATGAATTAACTTGATTTAACATGATTTTTTCACCATCAGAATGGTGGTAACACATCAAGAATGGTGGATTGAACCATCAATTTCTTGACCATCGGTGATGAAAAACCATGAATTTCATGGGGATTTAGCCAATGAAATGTTAATTGAAAAATGATAGAAAAGGGGTTTGTCTGAAATTTATGGACAATTATCCCCCTAGTTCCCCACCTGCCAGGTGAGGGTTGTTAGATTTTATGTCAGTTGCCTGCTCCTCTCCTCCTCTCCTCTCCTCCTCCTCCTCCTGCTCAACCGCGACCCTCGACGCACAGTGTTCTCTGTCGGACCTCAACCACGACCATCCACGCCCAGTGTTCCCTGCCGGACCTCAACCACGACCATCCACGCCCACTGTTCCCTGCCGGACCTCAACCACCCTCATCCACGCCCAGTGTTCCCTGCCGGACCTCAACCGCGAGTATCCACGCCAAGTGTTCCCTGCCGGACCTCATGAGATATGCCAGATAGAATGCCAGAAGAGAAGAAGATGGAATGTCAGATAGAATGCCAGAAGATATGCCAGATAAAAGATATGCCAGATGCCAGATAGAATCCAGATAATATGCCAGAAGAATGCCAGATAGAATGCCAGAAGATTTGCCAGATAGATATGCCAGAAGATATGCCAGAAAATATGCCAGAAGATATGCCAGATAGAATATGCCAGAAGATATGCCAGATAGAATATGCCAGATGCCAGATAGAATGCCAGAAGATATGTCAGAATATATGCCAGAAGATATGCCAGATAGAATGCCAGAAGATATATGTCAGATAGAATGCCAGAAGATATGCCAGATAGAATGCCAGAAGATTTGCCAGATAGAATGCCAGAAGATATGTCAGATAGAATGCCAGAAGATTTGCCAGTAAGAAAATGTAAAAATGTCACGGTGGGGATCACACGAAGTAAAGTAATTTGGCAACTTTTTTGGAGGGATAATTTTCTAATTGATCAATGGATGGCATGGGGTACTCTGCTCTCAGACAAACATATGTTGTTATAGTGTACTGGGTAGTAAACCCAAAAAGATAGAAAGAAAGAACTGTTCCTTCTCGTGGGTGTGCTATAAAATGGGCTACTGTTCCAGTATGGGTCAAGAACATTTTCGGCACCCATGGTTTTTCCACAAGAAACTGGCCATTTCAAGATTTGAAACCATCCACTTTGGGTGATAAATATCGAAACATGCACAATGTGGGCTAGGTGGCTGGCCCCGGATTTCGATTCGGTTTTTGAATTCATGAAAGCTCCAAATCATAAGGCGTGGCGTGGTTATCATTATTGGGGTTTTTGTGAGGTGTTTTTATGCCACCTATAGGATGGTGCCCCCCAGTTATGTTTGTTGGTTTATAAACCCCATTAACTATAGTTATATCTGCCATAAACCATAGTTATGGGAGTTATAAACCAACTTAGCTAACTATGGGGCACCACCTTGTATGTAGAATGGGACAATATTAGGGACTATGCTTTGCGTTAGAAGACTTACTGTAGACGAAAAGACTAAGTGACTAATGGTTTGCCCAATGTTCCCTAAAAGAAAGCAAGTTTGATATCCTCATACTCATGGGCGAAAATATTTCAGACCCATGTAACAAAAATGTTGAATCCGACCATTTCTTTCACGAAAACCGAACCGCAAACGACACCGGCGAATGCTGGCCCTGGATGGTTGAAGATTTTCTGCCTCTTCAACTGGGTCACGTTTCCATCCTCTCAGCATTGGTTGAAAACAAAAAGCAGGAACTCCCAACTGGGTTTTGAAACGATCAGGCACTTTTTGAGACCGATTTTCGATGTTGAGATCAAGTTAGACTTCCATGATGGTTGGTGAAAGAGTCATCGGGGCCATCATTTCCTCCGGTACCACCACCGACAGGGCCACCAGGAACAGCCCCTGCAGGATCCTCAGTGACGGCAACGTACGGCCTTCCTGGATATGCATCCAGCTATGGTATGCCGACACCCAATGCGCCGATGATCAATACGCCACAGACACCGGCAAGAGTGCCACCGACTTCGATGGGGTCAATGGCAAGTGTTCCAACAGCCCCTGCTGTTGCCACTGCTGCAAGGAGTGAGCCGCAGCCCCCTATGGTGCTTTTGGTGGCTGATGAGTCAGGCGCTCCGCAAGCAAAAACGTGAGCTCCGGCAAGTGGTAGAAGCAGCAGATGCAGCAGATGAAGAGGTCTGATGCGGTCACGGTAAGTTCCATTCGGGGAGGGGCCCGGCTTTTGTGCGGATTCCCTTCCGTTTTTCTAAATAAAAGTGTCCATAGATCAGGTAGATTGAATTCGCATCCCGGAATGGTTTTGAGTTCGCAGGATTTGTGATTTTTGAGGAAAATGGCCATGCGATTTTGGCGATAGGACAATGTAGAAAACCATTGTTTAGTGGTTTTTTACCCCCCGATGTTTGATGCATTAACCGGCCGCCTCCCGTCTTGTGAGGACCTAGGAGCGGTTTGCCCAGATACTGCCAAGCCTGGGAACTCAAAATGGGAAGGCTTGATGTTTGCATGATGTAACCCTGGATTTTATAGTGACATAATGTGGATTCATAATGCTTAATAAGCATTATAATCCCATGTCAAGAAAGAAAATATGGTTCTAAACCATCAAAGGTTTGGGCAAATTTTACGAAGTTTTGATGATCAGCTGGATTTTGGGGTACACCATTCTGAATGGTACCAAAACGAAATGTGGCTTTGGTAACATTTCGTGGAAAAGCCCATCGCAGTCCAATGGTTTTGGTCAACGAAACCTCATTTTCCCCTGGACCTTGGCTGCCCAAAAAAGGGAGTCTTTTCCTGGACCTTGGACCCAGATCTGAGAATGTCCATCAGAAGTACGTGAAATACGTTGGAAATGCATTGAAATGCATTGAAAATCAACGGAAAACGTGAACATGTGATGTTTAAAGGCGTTGGAAATGTGAAAATGTTTTCGTGTCACTGTTTTACTTTCACCATCTTTGAGAATTCGGGCCGAGCTCTGTCAAACTGTTAGGTCGATGAGAAAGAGAGTTTGAGGGTCAGGGTCAGAAGGTTCTAGATATGCTGCATCCTAGTCTCAAGTACGAATCCTGGTTTCAAAGCTAGAAATTTCCCAATCCAAGCAAGAATGCCCTTTGAGATGTATGAACAATTTGTTAATCCCCGGCAGTTTTGAGGTGAAAACAGCATGGTTCCCGGACATTTTTTTTCCCAACAAACAAAAAAGAAAACGCTACTGGGTTCCTTCCAAGGGGGGCTGGTTCGCCCAGGAGTCTTCGGCAGATCTTGGAGTACAATGAAGAGGAGAGACAGAAATTAAGCAATCCATTAAGGGGATTTTTATATGCCCATTATGAGGATTCCATTTCTGGGATGGATGACCCTAAACTATTTTTTCTTCATTGACCAAGGCACATGTGATTTGTTGGTGGGAGCTGTGATTGAGCCATCGAACATAAGAATTTCATGGAATTTGTAGAAGTTAACCATAAAGACTGGTGTACCGTTGGTTTCGGATATGTTTTTCTTTTTGTGTTATGAGACTTCAAAAAGGCTTGGCCCAAGTAAGAATAGCAATGAATATGCCATCCGGAGCTGACAATCATCCGGAGCTGTTGGTAAGTGCTTGGCCATGGGGCATCATGGCGCCATGTTTTTTTGGGATTGGTTTTGTTGGGAAAATCTTCACCGCAAAGCATATGTTTGTCGTTTCCTGTAAAAAAAAAAACGCAAAACCAATCCGATGATATGTTGTACTTGGTGGCTCATCCCACGAATCGTAAGTGGCTTAGTTCACCCCAATTATAAGTGGATTAACCCTACTTATCCCATGTAAATCACTGGGGTTATAACCCACTTACGAGCCATGGGTAGTTCGCCACCTGTTGTAGCTCCTGAATTGGGACACAGTGGGATGATCATAGGTAGCTGGGCTCATCGAAGCAGTTGCTGTTTGTTACTGGAGAATCCACCATTTCTACTCATGTTTCACAGCGCTAGATGAGCCATTAAAAATACCCTGGTTAATTGATTGCTATAGGGGATTATACTACCTGGTTTACTGGGGATTATGATAACCCATAGTAGGGAAACCTATCAACCAACTAGTATAATGAGATGGGATAGGGGTATTTTTAATGGCTCAGATGATCTAGATGTCGTGCAAACTTCGGTTTTTCATTTTACAGTAAGTGAGGCTCAAAACATCTGTCAAAGCCCAATTTTCCTAGAAAAAAAATCATGGTTAGCATCAATTCAAAGCCCAATTTTCCTAGGGAAAATCAATGAAAATCATGGAGCATCAATTCAAAGCTCCATTTTTCCTAGGGAAAATCCTCCAACCCCCCATTTTTTGCTGTGTTTCGGATGTCCATTTCCAGGACATCGCTGAAGTATTTGGAGACTTAGGCTGGCCTCGTCCGAAGCTCAGCCCGGAAAGGATCAACTTATGGTGGAAAAAAACCATGGTTTTGGAGAGGTTTTGGAGGGGGTTTACCATCAACAATAGGGACTTAATAGGGGTTAATGGGACTTAATATATATTAATATGGACTTAATAGATCTATATACTGGTTGGTGGTTTGGAACATGGCTTTCAGTTTCCCATTCAGTTGGGAAGAATTGGGAATGTCATCATCCCAATTGACGAACTCCATCATTTTTCAGAGGGATTGAAACCACCAACCAGCCAAGGTACAAGGGTGTTGACTTTTTTTTGCATGACAAGTTGGATTTTCCACTGTAACAATGTTAGTCATTCCCAAAAAGTGAAAAACTTGGAGCGAGTTGCGGACGACGTTCGTTTTTGGGACTGCAATGAACATCTAACGTTCGAGGTAGGAATCGTAGGAACCCTGATTTCATGTGGGACAAAGCATTGAACATGGAGAAAAAAACCATCCTCACTGTGGCGGAAAGATAACTAGTAGCTTGGCTGGTTGAATCTCGCATTTCGGGCAGGTCACGTGACCTGCTACCAGCCTGCAGCTATCTGAAAAAGGGGGTTTTGTTTTGGGCCTCGTTTTGAAGTCCCCAATTCAATGACCTACTCTTTGTGCGCCACATGTTTGGATGTCAACTTTTATGATTGTTGTTGGTAAAATCTGGTAATATTATCCCATAATTACCAACATTATCTTCTATTATCCCACATGAAAATATGGTCATCATATTTCTTTGGGATGTTGCCCCAGAAACCTCGGGAAAAGTCATCCTACCAGTCAATCAAATATGGCCATGGAAAAGCATCCATTTATAGATGAGTTTCCCATAAAAAAAAAAAAACTTCAGTTATAGGAGTTTTTGTTCCAGATGTTCCCATATATTTGCCTAAAAAAAACAGTCCCTTTTCCAAAGCGCCGTTTACCCTTTGGTAAGCTAACATGTTGCTATGGAAAGATCCACCATTTTCTATCTGGGTAAATCCACTATTTCTATGGCCATTTTCCATAGCTTTTTGTATGTTTACCAGAGGGTATATATTAAAGCGATGTTCCAATCGCTCAGGCAGTCGCTTACCCGAAGAGCTGGTGATTTCACAGGCCAACAAGGCAGATTTCATACAGGCGGAACCCGCACAAAGGGCCCGCAGACGTCACAGAAAATGGCACCCGTGGGAAAAGAAACTGATCGTGACTGGTTGGTGGTTTGGAACATGTTTTATTTTCCCATATATTGGGAATGTCATCATCCCAACTGACTTTCATATTTTTCAGAGGGGTTGAAACCACCAACCAGGTGAGTTTATTGAGGAGATTCCCAAAATCTGGTTGAGCCTCTGAAATGGTTTGTGTTTTCTAAAACCCGTTTGATTGGCAAGTGAATGCCGATTTTCACTTTCAATCAGACCCAAATGTCTGGGATTGTGTTTATAATGCTCTTTTATATTGGTAGAAATCGAATATCTCATTAATCATATCACATCTTCTGACTTAAAAGAGCCACCAGGCTTACATCGACTGGTTCTTCCATGAAAGAGTAGATGCGCAGCCGGGACGGCTCAGCAAAACAGACAAAAGGTTGGTGGATTCTGGGGTGATATTTCATGCTGGGTAAAGTATAGTCAAATTTATGAACCAGCCCGAAGTTGCTATATATTGCTAATTTATGAATGGATATATATATATATACATGGAGGGCTCCTAAATTGGGGGCACCCCCAGTCATCATCCAAACTAGACCATTTTTAGTTTTGAAACCCATTGTTTTGGGGATCCCCCATTTTAAGAAATATATATATATATATATGTATTATATACTGTATATGTATTATATACTGTATCACAAAGAAAGAACGCGATCACTTGCCTAAACTATTCACATATATTCTACATCTCGCTAGGAGTTCAGTTTCAGTCGGATTCCAGCTCGCACGGGGCGGCCATTGTCGGCCACGATCCTTCATAGCACGGACTGCAGATTGCATGCAGAAACCTAGGTCAATCTAGCATGGATACTTTAATCCTTTGGTCTTTTGGTATTAATGGGAATATCTACTAACCAACAAAGATATGTTTTTTGCAGGGTATCTAAGATTGGCAATGAAACCTGCAGTTAGAAATGTGTTTGACCTCCTGAAAGGCTTTCGCAGTGTTTCCAGTGATCATGTAGTCGACATGAAGGCAATACATGGCATAGCACCTGGGGTGTGTATCTTGCAGTGGCCCGAGGCCTGGTTTTCGTATTGCTTAAATCAGATGATGCTGAATGAAAATTCATTGGAGAAAAGCCTCTCAACCAGTGGAACATATCCAAATAAAGAGTTTCTGAAAGGTACAGTACATGATGATACATGATCATACATGATCATACATGATCATACATGATCACTTGTTCTTGTTGCAACCCCATTTTCGGAGAGGTTTTGCTATGTGTGTTGTCCCATGTTGCTGGGTTCCGAACCCCTACAATATTACAATGACAGTTGGGAAACCCGATCATCTCGTAGGTGTACCCGAGATGTTTATCTTGAACTGCATAATCCATTGAATCTTCAATACATTGGTTGGTTCCTCCAATTACTGGTTGGTGGTTTGGAACATTTGGCTTTTATGACTTTCCAGAAACAGTTGGGAATGTCATGATCCCAACTGACGAACTCATTTTTTTCAGAGGGGTAGGTTGAAACCACCAACCAGATTATGATTATAATCCCATAAGATCCCAAAACCAAAATCCATTGAATTTCATTGAAACATCCTTGTGACTCCGAGGTTGAGGCCCCTCTGCGAAGGCTTCAAGGGAGTCCTTGGTGGCTCGTTCCTTGGCATGAACGGATGCAGGTGTCCATCCAATCTGAGTCATAAAAGTTATACCGTGGTTGATTGGTTCTTTTAGGGGGTTATAGTACCTTGTTTATTGGTGATTATTGGTTGATCTGGTTCTTTGAAAGGGGTTTATACATGGTTATACTATTACCTTCTTTATTGGTGATATTTAGATATTTTTATAGTCGAGACTAGGGATACCTATTCATCAATCAGCGTTGTTTGGGATGGGATGGGTATCTTTTCACGGATCATGAGTCATTGGCTGCAACCCCTGGGGTATATACCATTATATACCCATATGTAAGAAGGTAAGTTACAAGCACATCATTAAATGATCGCTTTTTGGGGCCCGGCTATAAACAAAGCGTGGTTTTTCACATGAATCAGTTGGATCTCTTCATTTGGGCGGGCCAGTCGGAATGTCCAATTGGAGAGTGCATCCATCAATCCAACTGAACTATAAATCAATGGGAATGACTCAGGATCCTGAAATGGAGGTACCCGTAAACGTACCATATGTTTGACCATATTTTGCTGGAAAATATTCACTGAAATTTAGGCCCAAACATATATGGAATCGGTACCTCCAATCAATCGGTTCCTGAGATGGCCAGTGAATAAATCCCATGTCCAACCCCCAACAAAAAACCGGTGGTGAATTCCCCATGACTCGCTGCAGATCGTTGCTCCGGACCATCGTGGACGCAGTCCGGGAAGCCGGTTCGGAACGGGACGCAACCCGGAAGTGGATTTTGTGGCATCCAAAATTGCCGGGGAAGGGTCATTCTGGTTGGAAAATGAATGAAAATCATGGGAAAATGATCAGAAATGATCAAAAATGATCAACAAAACCACAACTTGAATCCAATGTCTTCAATGAAGACTTCAAGTTGTGGTTTTTGTTCATTTTCTAATTTTCCCATGATGTTCATCCATTTTCCCCTGAGAACAGGGTCATGCGTAACAGGGTCATTGCGAACTGAGAAGCTATGATCATGGCCGTAGAGTTTCCGAAAACCACCTGCGCGAGACTGGTGCTCCCAAGATCAATGCGGTGTTTTTCATCTTCGACCATTACAGATATGAAATTAGATGAAACAATACAGTGATGTGATACAAAGGATATAATATAATACAATTTTGTGGGGTTGACAATTCATATTGACCTATTTTTGGTGCTAAAATAACAAGTGTGGAATATTTTTCGGCGGTTGATAATTTTGACCCTAATATGAGTTTGCGACAGTTCGGCCACCACCTTGGTGATCCATAGATTCAATATGATTGAATAGCCTCCGGTAAATTTAAACATGGAAAATTGCCCATAGAAATAGATTATGATTTCCCTCTTAAACGGGTGATTTTCCAGTTCGCAAACTGTTAAATTAATGTGAAATGTTGTTAAATTACCAGAGGATATGCTAAATCTTGCATGAATCATCAGCGAAGTCAGCATTCATCGCCAAATATCGCCAAACAAAAATCACAAGTGTCCTGCTGGGTTTGGAACTGAGTACACCAGAAGTTGGACAGGTTGATGGCTAGCAATGGGAAGCGAATGCTCAGTATAATATAATAATATTATATATATATATTATTATTATTAATTATTATTATTATTATACATATATATATATATATATACATATATATATACATATATATATAATATTGCCAACAAAATGGTGAGAGATTTGTGATAATGGGATTTCAGCCAACCTCGGCAGGCAACCCCCCAGCAAGACGGGTGAAATCCCAGTTCCTGATGGATGTTCCCATTGTGCCTGCTGTGCTTTCCAGAGGCTAAATCGGCCCATTTCTCGGCCCATGTGGATGACCGAGGTGCAGTTGGAGAAGATCGTTTGTGGCGGAGCGGAACAAGTGGACGTCACTCGGACCGCGCGGACCCGGGCCCAACGGTCGACTGGGACTGGTGAGACTAGCGGGGTTGGGGACGATTGTAAGCCATAGGGAAAGCTACGTTGGGTTGTGCCCCCCAGTGATGTGAACGTTGGTTTATAAACCATAATAACTATGTATTATATATATATAGTTCGATATATATATATATATATATATACACCATACACCATTTTGTGAAATTGGAGTTGTGTGGCCCCCAACTTAGCTAACGAACTGGGGCACCACCTTGTATCAAGCAACTGGTATATGATGGTTTATCAGCATGTTCTCCATGAAAACAGACACAAAATGGAGTGAATCCTCCATGTTCCATCCATATCCACTGTTCATTGCCTGAATTGCAATGTTTGCTTAAATCCCAAGTGTTCACGAAGCTTAAAAGTCAACATACAGTATATTCCCCATTATTCCCCATGGTTTTCTCATTTTCCCAGGAGTGTCCACTCAAAAAACATCACAACCGTGCTTAGCACGAGTGTCCTCAGGTCAATGCCATCAGATCTGGCTCAGAGATCGAAGGATGGACTCAACAAGAAGAGTTTGGAGACCTGGCAGTGTGTCAAAACCCATGGAATCCCCTGTAGTTCACATCAAGTCATAGCTGGGATTTATGGATGTGAATAACCCCCTAAAAATGGTATTTTCATAGGTATTGATCCATACCCACCTGATTCGCGGATCGCGGCACCGTACGGCGATGGATCGATCTGTGTGTTTTTTTTGTTAAGCGAAAGGGATGTGTTGAAACAATGGGAAGATGACCATGAAAAATTGTGGATTTAAAATTGAAACATGGGGTTGGCAACCTTTTTTTGGGTTGATCATCCAAAAATTGATAAAAATTGTAGATTTGACAATGAACAAATGGTGAAACAGGCGCATTTGTGGCCGTGAAACCAGATTTACCTCAACAATAGGAATGTAGAAAAACAAGTAAATGGCGGATTTTGCCGACATTTTTGGATTTGGGGTATTTAACCACCACAAACGGCCAATGTATGCAACATACTTGGTAAACCCTTATCGGCAATTCAAAATAAATCAAAGTGTTCATGGATTGATTTTGCACGTTTTTGAACGGTATGTTCATGGCAACGATGATCCGAGGATGAATCCATCTGTGATTTTGTGTCGCTGTTTCATAGCATGTTGTCCCTAAGTTGCTGGGGTTTCCCTCTACCATTGGCACACTCCATTGTTTTCTTAGGCCGTGGTTGAGTTTCTGTAGATTCTTGACGTTGAACGCGCCTTTCTCGACTGTTTGGTTTCCCCCGTTTTTGCAAGACTCTATGATTTGATCTTCAAGATCTTGTGTACCTTGATTGTGTTTTATTATGTGATTACCTACTGCTCACGAAACTGCTACTTGACTATTTGGCTGCCCCACTGAGATAGATTTAACGATGGTTCCACACCAAGAGTTTGATCCTCACCAGAAAAAAATGTGTTTTTGGCTCGCATTTGGCTAATTGTATGTCCCTCAGATATAAACGACAGGCAGGTGATCCATGGATTCGCGATGGGAAAACATCGGCTTGTTTGAAATGATTCAAACATGTGAATTCAACCATGAAAAATGGTGGTTGACCCAGAGTAATGTATATTTTACCACCGCCCTGTAGAACTGAAACCCTGAAAGATGCGTCCAAGAATTCTTAGGTGCTTAGCTCTTTCCATGTTCAATTTTGGATGACTTTGGTAACAGCACATGTTTGGGAGCCTTTTTCGCAGTTCTATCAGTTCTTCGATGTTTTTCGAGTTCTGAGAAGGCAGTGAAAACTCATCAAAGAACAGTTCCTTGAGTTCCATGATGGTCCACTCATCCGAACCCGGGGATCTGAGATATGTGCGGGGTTTCCTAGGCCACTGGGGACCCCAAATTTTCATTCAAATGATTGGTCGGTTTTCATGAGGAATGAGGTTGGGTCAGACGGGGAATCCCACTTTTAGAAGACACCCGGTGCCAAACGCATCATGTCTATATGTATATATAATCATATATATATATACACATAACATCATATAGTATATATTATCATATAATATCACATATCACTTATATTACATATGTTTCATGTGCTTCATCCACATCTGTCTTAACGCTACAGTAATCGAATAAATAAAACCAAAATAAATTCGATTCTGCAGGTCGGAGTATTTGCCTTGGTTCTGGGAGGCACAGCTGAGCGTTTTTCACCGCCTGGGCTGGCAGTGGAGGAGAGCTAATCTGCTCAAGGTAAGTTGGATCCTGTGGTTAAAAAAATACCCTTATATATATATATATATATATACGTATATTTACATATATTATACATATATATATATGTACATATAAATACATATATATATATAATATGTATATATATATATACATACATAATATGTATGTATATATATATGTATATATACATTGTTTGGCAGACTATGGAACTATTGTTGTGTTGGTGTTTCATGGAACCATTGATCACCGTTAATCGCCATTAATCCACTATTAATCACCATTCATCACAATTAATCACCGTGTTGATGTTGTGACAGTATGCTGGACTTAGAACTTCGGCTGTTGTGAAGATTGGGTCCTGTCCCTGATTCCTGGTGTGATCCGAGAGATTTACAGACGTTTATCTACATATACAGTCTTATATAATAGGCGTAATTAAGTGTACATTTCTATAATTATAGATGTTGTCCATCGATCCATCTACATAATAATAAGTATGTATGTATATTATATATATATATACATACATTTACATATATATATAATATACTGTATATATATATACATATGTATATATTCATAGAATTCATATGTTGGAAATTCCCAAGTGATGTTAGGCCCAAAGCTTTGAGTTCTGTTTGCTCCAGGTGCTGGCCAGCTTCACAGCTGCGGAAAAGGTCGGAGATGGCCCTGAAATCTTGATGTTTTCAGAGGAGGTTTAATAACAATGGTGGTCAAACAATGCCATAAATCATCCCCAATTTCACCATAAATAGATGGTATCAACCTTTAATATGATTAGATTTTTTAATTCCATTACTGATTTATCCATCAATATATAGTATTATGTAATTTTTATTCTTGTTTTGGCAGTGCCTTCTAGTGATTTGACACTGTGTTGATGTTCACTATGGACAAAAACACAATTAGAATATATAATTATAATAATTGGTAAATTATCCAGAAATGGACTGTTTTCCACGGCGATGTGACATGACCGGACGGTTAAGCGAAGCGATTTTTGCAAGGAGGAGAAATGTTCGCAACGAGAGTGGAGATTTATAACGATCATTTGTTGTTGTGCAGGCATGTCTGTCTGAAAATTGGATGATACCGTTAAATCCAAGAAATTCCTAAATTGCCTATTGAACGGGCATTTGAAGATGGTTTTTTGCCATTTGAAAAGACACACCCGGAAAAAACCGTGGGATGGAACGGGTTTCCAAATTTTGAGATCTCACAAGTATGAGGGGATACCAAAAATCAATGCACACTCTCCATATGAAAACCTTGATGGTCATAATTGATTTTTTGCCAAAAATGTGGCAATAATGTATACTAGCTATCCAGCTACCAAGAGAAATTTTCTGGATATCTGAGATGGTAAGGTCGATTTTAACTGTGCACTGATGGTTAGATGCGGGATCCTTTGTTCCTGTGCTTGAAAACATAGGTGTTTGGCAAGCCACGGTGGGCTTTGACATACAGTTTGACCCAGATAGATCCTGCCATGGTGGGGTGCAATTGGAAGTCCCGTCCCCTATAAATGGATGTGTTCATTCGAAAATCTTGTAATATCGTCTATAAATGTGGGATTTTCCAGCAAGCCATGTTTGATTACCCCAGGGTAATTGGCACCATCACAGACAGGGACCGTCATCAAGTTCTGCTTCCATGAGTGACTGAAAGTACAATTCGGGAGTATCTATAATCCCAGTAGAATCACTTTCATAATCCCATTATATTCTACTATCAGCCCATGATATCTAGGGTCACTGTACAAAATGTATAATGATGTGTATATACTTAGATCCAGAATATGACTATAGATCCAAATTTAGCAACTATGATTCTGAATTGGCGTTGTTCAGAAGTACGTTATACTATGTTATACTATGTTATACTGTTATACCATTTTTAAGGCCAATATATTAGGGAATATGATGAGACCCCATTGAACCATTTGGCCAGAGACGAGCTCGCTGCAGTGTCGGATCGTTCCATGATTTTGATGCTAAATTGAAGTTCTGTTGCAGCTTTTGGGGGCCATGACCATGGCAGACATGTTGATCAACTTTTTCCACTGATAGGGATGTTCCTTCCATTCCAGTGTTGGACTACAAGCAGTCCTTGTGTGCCGAAAAATTGCCCTAAACCACCATAATGTTTGAGCTCGACAATGCCCACCATGCTATTTGTGTCGGGACAAAAAAACATGTCTACTTTCATACAGCCTTCGAGGTGACTGTGTATCAACGCAATTCATATAGAATCTCATCTATGGGGTGATGACCACCAATTCCATTCAATTCCAAATATGTTGATGTAAACTACAGGGATTTTCGAGACTTTTGACATCTTTTGACATCTTTTGACCCATCCATGGCCAACTCCTGGCCATCGAAACTGGCTCTCTTCATCCAACGTGGGACCCCACGCAGGTTCAGTTTGTGGTCTTCGTAACTGCCAGTGATCGAGTTCCGCTGAGAGGATGGCAAGCACTAGGCTAGTGGCGGCAACTGGGGTGGCTTTTTCACTGGGCTTGAGAGTGACCAGAAAGTGATGGGAAATTCATGGAGATATCTCCAATAATTTGTTTTATGATGGTTTATGATGGTTGATAATTTTGTTCATGATGGTTTATGATGATTCATAATTTGGTCATGGAGAGGTTGCTAGAACTAAACCCCTCCAGTCAGCTGACCCCGTCCCAATCGTCCCAATATTAGATGGTGAAGAAGCCCTGATCAATGGTTCGTAATGTGTTCAAAACGAGCCAATGGAACACGAAGTTTTGTTGGCTGCTTGAAAGATGGAACTGTTTCCATGCCATCATTTTAAGGGTCAGAACCTATGAAATACATTGAAATAGCATATTTGAAGGGGGTGGACATGCATAAATCATCATAAATCCCATAGAAAATTGAGTCTTCACCAGGGCAACAGGGTTAAAAAAAGAATACCTCAGGTCTCATTGTCCAGAAGAACGGTGTGGGAGATGATCGTCTCCCTTCGGCGTACACCTGTTTCAGCCGGCACCTAAGGCCGTTGGAGGAGGGCTTCTGATGATTTCTGCGGGAAAAGATGTGTTCAAAAATTCTGTAGACTAAGGAGTTTGTTGAACCGAAAATTGTATAAAATTGTTAGATTTCAGCAAAAAATGATGGTGCACAAGCATTTTTTGTTGGGCTCAACCATCAAGAATGCTGGATTTAACTATGAAAAACTGTTTTTTTCATGGTGATGCCACCATGAGTCTGGAGGGAGTTTACCTTTTTGAATCGTGGAAAATGGCGAAATCACGGCTGAAAGTTCATTTACCCTCTGGTAAACTAACATAGCTATTGAAAATGACCATTTATAGTGGATTTTCCCATTAAAAATGGTGATTTTCCATAGTTATGTTAGTTTGCCAGAGGGTAGCCCTATCCAACTTCAGACAATACTATATAGTGGCAATAGGATATATTGCCAACCGTATGATATTATTATGGATAAAAAATGAGAAAATCATTCATTGACCCACAAATGATTGTTCTTTTGACTATTCAATTCAATAATATGTTTTTGGCGACTATCAAGTCGAAGCCCCGGCCAATTAGATACCAAGTCACCGACAAATTGATGACAATGGCACTGTAGCCCCTGGATGAAACGCCAGCAAAATTGATCATGAGAATGAGGGATGATCATGGAATATAGTGAATAACAACCATATCTTTAGATATCTTTAGATATCTTTAGATACCACTGGTCAGCCTGATCTAAAAAACGCGTAGCCATGTGGACATCGGTGCATATCGCTGCCAATCATCTCAGCAGGGAGAATTTTTGGTGTATCCCTCTGGGAACTGGTAAACAACTAACATTTTGCTATGGAAAATCGCCATTTTTGAGTGGGTAAAAATAGGTTACCAGGTAAACCAACTATAGATGGGTCTTTAATGTTGGTAAAACAATGCCATTGGCACCATCCCCCAGTCACCACCATAAATATATAGGTGGTATGGTTACCATTCCCATTTTTGGGTGATTTATGTCATTGTTTTACTGTTTTACCCACAGTATATGAAGAGGTAGTTGAAAATCACCATTGTTTATGGGTAAATCAACTATAAATGACTATTTTCAATGGCTATGTTTAAATTGCCAGAGGGTATTATATCCATTATTCATCCATTATTGTTGGTGATTGGTCCATTATCAACTATTATTAGCCAGTATTAACAATTACTATCCCATATGTTCCCATATATTACCATGTTAAATCAATGTCCAATAATTGTAAATAGTCATTTTCAACTATTATCAATTTCCAATTTAACTATAGTTTCTTATTATTTTCCCATATTACCAGAACAGATAATGGCATAGTTACTACTATTACTATCCTAGAACGTATTATTATTATTACTATTATTATTAGTATTACTATTATTATTATTACTATTTTTTTATTTATTATTATTATGTTTTTTATTGTTTTAATATTATTATTATTAATTATTAGTATTAATTATTATTATTAGTAGTAGTAGTATTATTATTTATTATTATTATTATATATACCGTATTTAATATATCCATATATTTTCCCATATATGTCCTATGAGCTCCCGCTAAGGTCAGCTGCTTTTACCACGTTTTTCGTCCAAAGAGAAGCTGCGGAGCGGCTTGCTCCTAGCCACTGGGCGACGGCCAGACATGGCATACGGATATCTTATGGGCGCTTCATATAGATTAGGTGAATGATTTATGATGATAGAATATATAATATGTATATATATATATATATAATTATATATATATATTATTATCATTGCATATCAGTATATCATTGAATATGATGATGATAGTAGTATATGATAGCATAAGAATAAATCTATGGGCTAGATGTTGAATGGAATTGATATCTTGGATGATGCTTCATGTGTTACCCACTTGATGGATAAAGGTAGCTTAGTCGGTCCTCTATTTTCAGACTTGAACCCATGTCGTTTTTATGCCTATTTATATACTGTGTAAATGCATGTGAGCATATACATAAAAGTGCATATATATATATATATACACATATTACATGCATAATATAGATAGATAGATAGATAGATCGATAGATCGATAGATAGATCGATAGATAGACAGACAGACAGATAGATAGATATAGATATAGATATAGATATAGCTATAGATATGCAGAAATATGTATGCATATATATATATATACATATGTGTATGTTTATGCGTGTATGTGTATGTTTGTATGCATGCGTATATGTACACATCTCGGTATACTTTGGTGTTTTTGCATATACCTCTTTCAAATCATGTATCTGTCTGTTTGTCTGTCTGTCTGTCTGTCACTGTCTATCTATATCTGTATCTATATCTGTATCTATATTTATCTATCGATCTATCTAATTGATCTATAATGCACAATGCTACTGTACATGCATACATATCTACACCAGTGATTCGTTGTTGTTGTTGCCAGTTCACGTCACTTGCTCGCGAGCCAGAAGACACATAAAGCTGCAGCTGCGGGTGGTCAGGATGTCCAGTTGATTATTGATTTGGAGCCCCCAAGAAACATATCATTTAAATCTGGTTGGTGGTTTCAAACATGGTTGTTTTTTCCCTAGTACATGGGATAATCCGTCCCATTGACTTTCATATTTTTCAGAGGGGTAGGTCAACCACCAACCAGAAATTCATTTAACCCGAAAAAATATTGGGAGTTGACCATGATTTACTGAACTGATTCATCGAAATTTTGGGGATGTAAAAAAACTGGACTGTTACCAGCAAAATGATAAAGTTAAGCGTCAAACATAAGGATTTAAGCCTATGAATAACCGTTTTTTTAAGCGTACGCTTTTTTCGAAGCCGAAACACAGCAAAATCCGGATCGCTCTCTGGAAGCCCAACTGGGGGTAAAGCCTGATTAGTTGAAGGGGTAATATTTTACTGTTTTTCGTACAGGATGGGGCCCCTGTTCGTTATCTAAGTTGTTTTATAAATGTTCATAACTATAGTAATACTAAGGAAAACAATAGTGCATGATACTTGTAATAATATTTCAGATGGGGTTATAAACCAACAAACATAACTGTGGGGGGCACCATCCTGTACCCTCTGATGGTCAAACATGGTTTTCTGGAAAATCCCTCTTTCCAGATAGTTTATTTGACTTTAATGTAGTAGTAGTCGGGTGATCCCTCATATATATATAATTGTCCCAGCTATAAACCTCCGTTTATACGGGAGATTCCAGCGTAAATTATCGCTTTTGGAGAAAACCCCCAATTAATCACAGTTTATAAATCCAGAGTTGACATCAACCCTAGTGAGGAAACTTTGGTTGGCTACTTTCAATACGTTGATCATGCTTAATCTGTTCAGCCATAATTGATACGAGTTGGGGAACATATCGACGGCCAATGATTTTTGTTGGTCTCCGAGATTAGCCATGAGCGCAGCAACCGGGTCAACATGGTCGGGGACTTTGGGTAGTCAAACCTTGCTTGGAATTCCCTTTTTCATGGACATCTATACAACTGGTATGGGAGAATCATCGAACTAGAGGCTAGCTAGTGGTATACAACTGATAGTAGTTCCATGCCATCTATACAACTTGTAAGTTTTGCTTCCAGCTAGCCATGTTTGGTCACCAGCCGGTAACGAAAAATCCCTGAGGCCATTGCAAACAGTGAGGGCTTCGGCCTTCGGTAGAGTGGATGGAAAGCCTTGGGTGCTGGTGAAACTTATCGATGGTTCTATACATATATATATACATATATATATACATATATATATATATACAGATACATATATACATATACTTATAATATATAATATATAATATATCATTTAATATTATATTATATTATATTATATTTATATTTATGTTTATATTTATATTTATATTTATATTTATATTTATATTATATTATATTATATCATATTAGATTATATTATATTAGATTATATTATATTATATGATATTATATTATATTATATTATATTTTGGTATATTATAGTATATTATAGTATATTATATTATGTTATATTATATTATATTATATATATGCATAGATATAAATATGTATATATATCTATACAGATATTATATATACATATACATATACATACATATATATATACATATAGATATATATTTATATACATATATTTATTTGCTTGGTTCACCATCAAGGCTCGAAAGGTATGAAGGGATCTCTTGCGAACTTCGCGCCAGATGTCCCCACTTTTTCGGATGGAAGATGGTGGAACTCCCATTTGGGTTTGGTACATGAAAATGATGGGGAGCTTCGGCCAAATTTGATGCTTTGGAAAAACCCGATGATTCGATAAACCGGTATCCCTAGAGATAATCATCCTAAATTGCCGGGTGAAGTATCCTTCGTTTTCAGGCATCAAACCCACTTCTTCCTATCCTAATTGAGAGGTGTGCTGTAGATGCCATGAGCTTATCACAGGTGCAGCCCCATGATGGAAGAGGGGGAAGATAATTCCAACGAAGCCATGTTGGTCAGATGTCAAGTGTGCGGCTCACTGGCCAAACCTTGGCTTCAATAGGTTAATCGCGTCATTTCTGGCCACAAATTAGGATATAAACTACACTTTCCATAATCATGGTTTTTTGGAGGGTATCATCTTGCATTGTTTGAAAGGTAGCAAAGAGATGCAGAGAGATGCAAAGAGATGTGGTCAATCCGATCTGCCCATGGTGACTCTGAGAGTGGTGAATCAAAAACCACGTGTCCTGTTTCACAGCCGACCGAAATGGTTTCTAGTTTCACAAGTTAACATCAAGGATTCAATTCTGGAAATCATAACTAGATTCATGAAAATAATTATGTGCATTTATAATGACGAATTATATATATATATATTATTCACACATAGCAAGTTGCCGAATGAAATAGGTTGGATTTATATATTGGAATATATTAAAATATAAAATTCAATTATAATATTATATATATAATATTATAATTCATATATATTTATAGAATATATATATATATAGAATATATGTATGTATATATATAATATCTGGACAATTTAAAATGACGTTACCGACGTCACCCCGAAATAACGACCTACCCTCAGAAATAACCCGTTACCATACAAATACATATAAATATGTACTCCTAACTGCCCAAGTCGTGGCGAAATCCCAAAAATCTTGAAATTAGCTTGGGGGAAGGCTTTTGTGGAAGTCGTGGCGATGCGGCGTTTAGCTTGTGTTTAGGGTAGGTTGCTGTTTTACTATCTCATGTAGACCTAAAGTGGCGAAGCGGTGTTTTGGTCGTGTTTGGGGTAGGGTATTGTTTTACTATTAGCATAGCGCTTTAATCTTGCTAGTTGCGTTCTTATTGTGTTTGGGATGGTTGCTGTTGGGTTCTGCAGCTACTGGGGTCTTGCTGTTGCTGCGGCTGCTGGTTCGACGGCTGCTGCTGTTGCTGTTTCCGGGTACTTCTACACAACGCTGGGATTATCATCTCTACACTGCCATGGCGGTGTGCTGGGATTCTGCAAATTGTCATTGTTTCGCTACCAGTGATCCAAGGAAGGGCAGGTTTGCGGCTTCCGGGCCAAAGTCCATGTGTGTCGATGCGGGGTTTTTTCCGTACCTCGTTTTGACCTCGTTTTGGACCTCGTTTTTTTCCTTTATCAGAACCCATCCTGCAGTATACAAACTAGGAAAAGGGCCTGCTTCGCGTTTTTGTTTGTGGGCGTCAACAGTACCCACGAAAAAAGGCCCGTTGGAAACCGGCGTTCCGATGGAATTCGATCAAAAACGAATAGAAGCATGATAGCTGATAGTTTGGTCAAGGCTTGTTAAAGCTAGCGTTTCCAATGGGGAAAGGGGTTTTGCAAGGTCTGTGCCGGGACAGGGGTCGTGGCGAGCGTTTTGATTGGGAACATCTGTCAAACGCAAACATTGCAAGGACTTTGGCGTCTGGGTGTATATAATATTATTAATAATATTAATAAATATATACAATATAAATTTATAGAATATATGAAATTAATAACAATTATTATGTAATATTATATATTTTGATAAAAAAATATAATTTAAATATAAAATGAATATTATTATTAATATTTTATTAAAAAAAATAAATATGTTATAATTATATATAATTATAAATTTAATTTATAATTTA